TGAGGAAAGAAAGAAGGAAATTGAAAAAAGACCATCCCCAAAATACCCAAAGTGGTGGCAGAGGAACAGAATAAACTGTTATTTTACAATAATCGAGTTTAACATCAACAATTGAAAATACCAGCTACACAGAGATTCCTAGGAGGAAAAAGAGTACTTGATTTTGGGGTTTTCTTCTTTTTTGGCTGTACATTGATTTTTGGCTCAAAAGAAATAGCTGATTAGGGTAAATGGTAGTTATACTCTCTAAAACAATTTTATTGTGCTCAGGAGAATAGAAAACATTTTCATAGCTACAGTGTGAAACAGATCAGCTTAGAGAAAATTTCTGTTTAAACTAATCTTCCTTTTTCACAGCAATGCAGAAGAATGTCTAGTGGTAGTATGACTAAAACTGCAACTCTTACCCCTTGTTTTCTTTTGGCAGGGTAAGGAGGTCTTAAGCATATATGACTTTTTAACACACACTTCAGAGAATTTATTATTTTATAATGAAATGTCCTGGATTCCATATATATATGCTTTATTATGTTGGGTTTCTTTTTTTTTTTTCACTCAAGTTGTACAAAGTCCAGGACTCAACAACAGGCTTAAAGGGTCTACAGTAGGTAGATGAAAAGCCCTTAGGCACTGTGTCTTAGAAAATGGCTTGTTCTTTTTCTTAGTAATGAGTTATTGAATGGGTTTCTAAGTGTTTACTTTACTGTTATTTTTGCATCTCAGTGGCAGACATTCATCCAGAAAGAGGTAGATGGGAATAGATGTTACTGACCCAGATATTTTCCTTTAGCACAGCAGTTTTTTAATGCAGTAGCATCTATAGCCCATTCTAACAGGGCTCCAGTCAATGTCCTGTTTTAACAGCACCAATGTGTTTTTTCTCAGTTCTCTGTAGAGGCTCACCTACCAATATACCTGAAAATGGCACTAGCAAGTTGTGAGATACACTAATGACTCTGAAATTACATAAACATGTTGCAAATATAAAATTCTTACCTGTTAGTTGGGAGAAAAGAAAACACCAGAACAATAGGTCTTCAGCAAGACAGACAGATTTTTTGATACCTAGAGATATTGAACATTTCTAAGCGTGAAGTCTTCATAAATACTTTAGTATGTGTCTGTATTTCCCTGTGCCTCTGACTACAAAAATTAAAGGTTGCTATATACATTTTAAATCTTGCATGCTTGCAAAAAGATGTCATTTATCAACCCCTCAATGTCTGGTGTCAGGTAACAGGTCTCCCTGCATCTCTGCTCAAGGAGAGATGGCTGCCACCCAGCCAGCTGCTGTGGAGGGATAGCTCGAAAGACCTTGATGGCTGCAGATATTTCTAGTGTAAAGTGGTCACAGATATTTATAGTGTAAAGTGGTCAACTCATAGTCAGATTTTCTGCTGTGTTCATGCAGCTTCATCTGCTTATCAGCCTAGGCTCTAGCCAGAGTGGGTTTTTGGGTTTGGTGCTGGGTTCTCACTGATAGCTTCACGCAGTAGGATTAACTTTGGTTAGACCTACTTGCTGTGCCTCTGCCTGGACAAAAGTTTGGTTACCTCAAACAGGAGAAGTGCATCTGCCACAGACAAAAAGCAGCTACGGATAATTACAGTTTATCTAATCCTTAAGGAGAGCCTGAATATATCTGTTTACTGTCCTAAAAGATTCTGGACATTCAGAAAAGGCAAAAGTCTACAGTACCAGCTGAGTCTTTGAGATACTGAACTCACAGCATTTTGAAATTAAATTGACATGTGATTGACAGCCAGCTGAACAGGAGTCAGCAGTGTGTCCAAGTGGCCAAGAAGGCCAATGGCATCCTGGTTTGTATAAACAATAGTACAGCCAGCAGGACCAGAGCAGTGACCGTGCCCTGTAATTGGCACTGCTGAAGCCACGTCTTGAGACCTATGTTCCATTCTGGGTCTCTCACAACCAGAAAAACATTGAGGTGCTGGAGCTTGTCCAGAGAAGGGCAATGGAGGTGGTGAAGGATCAGGAGCACAAGTTGGAAGAGGAGAAGCTGAGAGGCTGAGCTTGTTTGGTCTGGAGAAAAGGAGGCTCAGGCGAGACCTCATCACTCTCTACAACTACTTGAAAGGATGTTGTGGCAAGGTGATGATCGGTCTCTTCTCCCAGGTAATAGGTGACAGGACAAGAGGAAACAGTCTTAAGTTGCAGCAGATGGGGGATTGGATTGGATGTTAGGAAACAAATCTTCACTGAAAGAGTTATCAAGCTGTCAAGCGAATCTTGAACAGCTGAAACAGCTGTCCAGGGAAGTGGTTGAGTCACCATCCCTGGAGGTATTTAACAGATGAGCAAATGTGGCACTTAGGGACGTGATTTAGTGGTGGACTTGGCAATACTGGGTTAATAGTAGGACTTCATCATCTCAGAGGTCTTTTCCAAACTAAACAATTCTATGATTATATGATTTTGTGAATTATCATATTTTTCCTTGATTCTGTCTAAAATTCTAGTTAAATTTTGGACACAATCCCAAAATGATAATAATTCTGGTATGAGTTTGAGTACTCTTTCAACTTCCATTCTTTTTTCTTGCCATTGTTTATCTTCTTTATTTTACTACTTGAGTTATGCTAAGCATCTTAAAAATAATAATAAAGCAACAGTTGCTGTGGAAAGACAGGCTTTTTATCCTAATGTGCCGAAGTTAGTTCTATTTTATTTTTACTACAGCAACACTTTGTTCTGCTGAAGTGGGTTTATTTTTCTGATGCATGCAGGGAAAAGGAATGAAAGAGAAATTGGAAGTTTAAGGTTATATGTGATCTAATATATGCAAAGTACTTCCTTTAATTTTCCTGTGGTGATAAGCTGTTCAGTACTTGCAATTTATATAATGCCTCTTTATTAAGCTGGGACTTCATTGAGCTTGTGTTTGTTTGAGATGCTCTTTATTCCTCTTCAGAACTCCTGTTGTTCAGTGTGTTCAGTCCCCAGTGTGCAGACTGCCTCACCTTTGGCCTTTAAGAATAAGAAGGACATTTTTCCATGTGGTGGCACCTCCAAGTTTGTCATCTGTGACATGGGAAGCACATCATGACCACGTACAGTAGAGAGTCTGACCTCATCAGCTCCCATATTGATTTTGTTTTGAGATGAGAAATACGCAGAAATGTGTATTTCTACCCACATTACCTGTGGGTAGACTAACTGCGCTGATGAGAAAGCTTCATTGCCAGTCATTGAAGAAATAAGAAAAACATTTGAAAATTATCATGCAACTTTTCTTTACAAGAGAGTAATCAAACCCTGGAACAGGCTTCCTGGAGAGGTGCTTGATGCCCATGTTTGTCAGTGTTTAAGAACCATTTGGACAATGCCCTTAATACCATGCTTTAACTCTTGTTTAGGCAATTGGACTAAATGATTGTTGCAGGTGTCTTCTGACTATTCTGGTCCTATTCTATTCTACTCTATTCTAAAGTTGTGGTATGGGTATAGACATCAAGTAGTTTGCCAGAAACATCTGCAAATTTTGGAGGGAGAGAGAAAATAGTTCATTAAAGTGTCATTTATGATTTGTCTCAGCAATACTTTAAAGGGTCTAACTTGAAAACAGGATACTTTAGCTGGGGAGGTTGCCTAACTTATGCTTTCTTATATTAATTGTTTTAGACATCATCTAAATCAATTGACTAATTGAGCTAAGACAGTTTCCTATTACTTTATCCAGTTTGCCTTTTTAGCCTCTAAGATGCTATACTACTGTCACTGATGCCAAATCCTCTTAGCTCCCTCTGAAAACCCTGAACCTCTAAGATCAAATGAAGGTAGAATAGGTGCTACAGGAAGGCTACACTGGATTTCCTGGGATATGCTCTGCAGCACTATTTCAACTGTCAAACTGAAGCTTATCACAAAAGTGCTGCCTTAGCCTTGAGACTTCATAGATCTCCTTCCCCTGTGATAGTAGACAGGTCTTTGTGCCCTGATGTTTGCTCTATACCAGATGCTGCTCCAGTTCAATATTGCTGTATGAATAGCAATCTAGGAACATGGAAACAACATAGGTTGCTGAATATGGGTATAAAATATGTTTACACAATTCCTAATTAAAGGTATCTATTAAAAAAAAATTAAAATAATTGAGACAGTCCATACTGACAGGAGAAAAAACATAACATAGCAAGATAACAGGTATTCAGATCAAAATGATGACATAGTTTTCGTGAGTAAAGGGAAGGCACTAGTAAAAAGCTGCAGTCTCTGTTGCTTCACAAGAAGCAGAAGCCCAAGAACAACTATTGCCATGGCAACAAAAGGAGGAAGGGGATTTACACTTCTGTATGTTTCAGTGCAGTCTTAACCAAGAGTGAATCTGGATAGAAAGAGCAGATGCACTATATTCATTCTTTTATTCTTTATGAATTGTGTATCTTACCCACTGCCTCAAACCCTGTAATTTACAGTGAAATGTCACTGACCATACATGGCTAAAAATGTTTCTGGACCTTCTAGAAGCATAATTCGTAGATTATTTATCTAACTCTCTGCTATATGAAATCACAAGGTCAATCACTGAATATATTGCTAATTTCAATTGACAATATTTATTCAATGCCATATGCCTTCCATCAGGTCCACAGCTCATAATATACCTAAATCCTCCTTGTAATCTATTGGGAACACTAAGTCTAATGTCTCTATTTAGTAGAAAAACATTGCTTCATCTCTAATTTCACCCTTGAAGTATCACTAAATACGTTACTTTACCCGTATGATTATTAATACAATTTCTCTAGTAAATTTTATGTCATAAAAAATACTGATATGTTAATACTCATGTGTTAATGTTGATATGTTAGTCTAATAAGCTTCTCCTATATAAAGTAAGATCAACTTCTCCTATATAAAGTAAGATCATCTTGTAGCCATCAGAACATTTTGACAATCAAGTGATGCTGCCTTGATTTATGTTCTTTTTTAAAAAATTACTCAGATTTCAGTAACAGTATTGTCTTTTAACATTTCAGATCACAGTTTTTCGCATGGGATCGGAAGGACACCAGGATATTGATTTAGCTATCCTGACAGCACTACTAAAAGGTAACAGTTTCACCCCACATTGAGTCTGTATCAATCCAGTCTGTGTCTGTGCTGTGCTGAAACCTTCATTTATTGATGATATCTATTCTATCAAGATGGCAAATCTGTACCATGAAACTGAAGTATACCTGTTGCCCTAAATGCTTTATACAAACCCAGCTCTGTCTTTAGTGTTTAAACAGCTGGTGTTATTCCTTTCTGAATTTTTGTTCTCCACCCCCAATCACAAATGTGTCACAAGAATCATCAGTGGTGACCCCCCACCAGTTACTTGAAAAGGTTAGTATTCACAAGAAGACAGCCTAAGAACCTCAGACTTAGATTACCTTGATGGCTAAAACATCCATTTAGATAAAACCAGCTCTATTGTCAAAGTAGAATGTTATTTGTAGTTATCCTAGGAAAGTCTGGAAATAGTGTGGTATTCCTTCCAGCCTCACTGGTAGAGTTAAGAATTCAGCTATTGATGTCGTAGGGGTTTTTATCTTAAACTTGACAGGTTGTTAAATCTTTCTAAGCCATTACAATTTACACTTACACTCTTTGAAGATTTCTCACAATAAATCTTCTGTTGCTACAGTTCATTATAGACCCTGGTCTTGCAGACCCACCATTTAGCTTAGCTTCCTTCAAAATCTTGTATTATCAGGTAATTTAGTATCTGCTTGCAAATACAGAAACAGGTGAGATTTTAAAGGCTCTAAAGCACATGTAATTTTCCCAGTGAAGGATACTCACCTAAACAATGACTGGTAGGTTCTAGCCTTCCATTCAAATGGTATTCCCCCAAAAGAGATTTTCACAAACTGCGTGCATCAATCACCATGGTCATCTCGTTGCTGTCATGACTAGTTTGTGCTATGTAGTACTGGCCATACTGATTTTAAAAACAGAGAATAAGACATACCAAACAAAATTAAAGACCAATCTTAGAAACATGAGGGAATGGAATTACAAAGGTAATTAGGAAAACTTATGCTTCATGAGACTCTTTGACAGTTAGTTGTCGGCATGCTCTTGGTCACCCCTGCACCTGAATAAGAGTGTACAGGTGGGTCAGACCTGAATCTGAGTCACAACAGAAAATGTAATAGATTTATTGAGTGTTCAAAAGGTAATCGCCATTATTCTTGCTTGTTCCAGGGCTGAATTTTCCTCTCAGTTTCTTCCTGTTCAGGTTCACAAAAGCTGTATGAAGGCCTGAGTAACTTTCACCTAGCCATACAAAATAGTATTTTGCCTTCTGCACAATTTTAATCCCATTTAAAAAATTTTACTTCAAACATTTAAAACAAAGGTCTGAACAGAAAAAGTAAAGAAGCCCTGGTGACTTCAAAAGTATGATTGAAAGCTGATAGCTATCAACCAAGGAAATGAGCTGTCCATCCTTTGCTGCAGTAGCTTTTGTTTCTTTAGGCTTCTCTAATATTGTTTAGTCCACTTCTTTTGATCATTCCAATCAAGATACCAGTTGTTTGTCCAGCAGCCAACATGACTATTTTGCTGCTGCTACCCAGAGGTAAGGAGTTTTAGTCATCTGCATTCACACAGAAAAAATATAAATCAAAGTGAAGAAAGGGAAAATAAATTAATTAATTCAAAGCAAGAACAAGAATTGCATCCATCACCAAATTCCTCTTTTTTATCCTTAGGAAATAATTTAATTGCAGATTTAATTTTTATCTTAAATAAAACTGAATCCTTCATTTCCTTTCAGTGGAAAGTTATTCTCTTTACATTTGTTCTTAAGACAATGTCTGAAAGTACTGCTCTTGTTCTATTAGTAAGACAAAAAATGTCTTGAAGTTGTGATTCCACTTTTTCTAGGTTTATTTTCAAGATCTAAATCCCACCATAGATCCCTGGAGTCTTCTGAAAACTGACTCTTGGAAGCTGAAGAAAATTAATTGTAGACCTGCAAGAGATTGTTTTCTATTTGGAATGTTCTTTTGCAGTATTTACATGAGCAACTGTTCTATGGTTGCTATTTCAGTATATGACTAGTCCTCTTTGACCTGGAGTACCCATTTTGCAAGTGCCTAATTGGTGCTGTTGTCCCCCTAGTAAAATAAAATTACCTTTCTTCTTCATATTAATAGTGCAAGACATAATAGGGAACTTCTCTTAACTCGGGAGGTACCTGGATCTGTGTAAGTAGTCTTGACATCTCCTTTCATTAGATTAGATTTATCAAACATCTCTGGTTAGCCTTCTGATCACAAGGCATAAAAGTCCACAAAACCTTTTTTAATCAATATGTGCAAAGATGAAATCTGTTGTCTCAGGCAAGTCAGCTATCCTTATTCACACAGTTATTCGCATCTCTGTACAAAGGTTCTGTCCCACTTTGAAAGAAATACTGACCTTCTGTAAATGCCCCATTAGGCTGATGGGTGGTTGGGTTTTTGATCAAATCAGGAAACCTAAGGTAGCAATGCTGAACTACTTGTCTATTGGTTTGTTATAAGTAATTTATTTGTAATAAGTAAAATATTTTTTTCATGCCATTGGAATTTTCATACCATTGGATTCCATGCCATTGGAAACTTACTTACCACATTTGCATGTATCAATAATTTAAAAAAAAATAATTGTAATAAGTAAAATAAATAAGTAAGGGTATTGGGTCTGAGTTATCTTAAAACTCTTAAATTTAGGTTTAAGAATTAATCTCTTTCTACTCTCCAGCAGTGTGTGAAAAAAGGGGGCAGAGCAAAGTATGAAACCACTGAGTGATTATTGGTAACTTCTTCTCAGTCTCACTGATGAGGAATTCGCAGTTCTTGATAATGCAAGAGGAGCATACCAGCTAATTACCCATCTGCCCCTGGTGTGAGTGATTTGGTCAGGGAGGAGGGGAGCAAGGATTGAGAAACACAAAGTATCATTCCTACTTGGTGTGTAAAATTTGTGATGAACTAGTCTCTTTTTAAACCCACATCAGACACACTACCAATTCAGGAACTGTCTTGGACAGGATATTCCGCAAGCCCCAAACCCTGCATCACATGTTATTTCTTTGTTTGTTTTCATGAGTAACTTCTTTAATCTTGTCAGCAAATCTATCCTTATTGGGAATGATCTCCAATAAACTACAGAATAGCATCCAAAGTGGTTATCAACTTACATTGCATGGATGTCACAACAGCATATGGTTTGTGAATGCCTCTCTTTTTTTTTATTTTTTTTTTTTATTTTGAGAGAAATGCAAACGTGGGAAGTAAGTTTCCAATGGCATAAATTTGTAGCAAGCAGATTTATTGATACAGTTTAACTGTTTGTGCTCTCTTGACTTGAACAGTTGGAACTCAAATCGTAATGGATTTTGTCCTTTTGCAGCTGCTAGCTAAGCAGAAGGCATTATGACAGGGAAGTTAAAGACAGCATATGGAGATGTTCTAAAAAAATACTTGTTTTGAAGTGGCATGAAAGATCCCGGTTCACGAAGCTGTTGCAACGTCTGGAGCAGACTAGCACAAACCATGTTTCAGATGGTGCTCCAGAAGCCTTCCCAGTGCAATTGTTAGCATTGGGTAAGAGGTTCTGTGTGGTATATCCATAGTAACATTGTTGCGGTGTAACCCTCTGAGATAGCCTATGTCAGGCTAATGCAAATCTGATGTCTTGGCATACTTTTCCGGCCTGTGAATAAGTCAAGACTCATGCCCCTTGAATAGGCATCGTGTAGTATCAGATGGTCCAGGAAGAAAGTGCAATAGTCTGCCAACCATGAAATCACAGACAAAAGGGTTTCAGAGCTAGATCAGATATCTGGTTACTGCTCTTATAGCTGTTTGTGCTATCAGCTTTGTTATTGTCAATTGATTTGCTAAATGGCAGGAAGATTTTTGTAGAAAACGCAGTGGAGACCCAGCCTTTTCACCAAACAGCTGCTGAAACAGAAGACAGCCAGGGCCTGCTGAGACACAGAGCAGAAAGTTCATTAGGATTGCTACTTTCCCTAATCGAATTCTTTTCTTTAGATGTTGATTCAAAGAGGACACTGACGTGCTTAGATGCACTGTGGAAATGAGTGTCCAACAACCACTTCTGTCTAGGTAGATCAGTTTTGTGTTATTTCAGCTTTCTGGATTCCTGAGCACTAAGGTCATAGGCAATTCCTGGAGAATCCTTTAGAGATTTACATTGGTCACAGTAAGCTTTAGCCAGTGTATAAAAGCCTGTAGTAATAAGTATATAAAACCTTTTCAGTAACCTGGTATCCTGCAAGGGCACAAGACTCATGGTCTGAAGTGTACCCTGGATAACCTAGGATAGAAAGACAAGTTTATGGTCCCAGGCTTTGTCATCAAGGAGTATTGCATTTTGAGTCCAAAATATTGTGAATAGACCATGTTACTTTTTATCGGAAGAATCTATGCAAGATAACCAAGCACGCCTGGATAGCAGCCTAAGAACATAAAGTTACCATCTCCATGAACTAACAGCTGTCCCAGGAGTCCGTCTATATCCCGCAATATCTATACCAAAATAAAATATTGCCTAAAACACTATTGGATGCAGTAAGTATGCTACAGGAATTAAAATTATACAATGCAATAGATTATTAATTCCACCTTATTTTTTTATTTCCAAAATATCATTTGGCTTTTATGTGGGTACATTACAGTGATGCTCATGAGTGAGATGCATCCTTGGAGAGATCACTTTTTGAATTCTTCTTACTGACTCAAATTCATGTACTGTGGCACTGATTGCAATCAAGGAAATAACTGAAAGGAGACAGTGTCTTAAGAAAGCCCATCTCACTTTTTTTCTGGGGAGTTTTTCTTATATCAATGGTATTATTCGTATTTCTTAATACTGGGCAGAATTCCACCTAAAATAACCTGAATACTTTCTTCTTCATGTGAGACAAAGGTCTTCAGTTCCATCCTAGAATAAAACCAATTAAAAGGCCTCCACAGCCCCTATGCTGCTCTGCACAAAATTTTATAGCATTTATTTTCCTTCTCCTCTTAAGTAACGTCAGTGTAATCCACATTCACCTGAAAACCCCAAAGGGAAGACAGGAAAGAGGAGAAGGATGCAAGGGCTTTCCAGTAAGAAACTTTACTCTAGAATCACACATCCCACCACATGCATCAGAGACCCAGCACGCAGACCTGTCTACACCCTAGCTGATAGACTGGTTTGGACCTGAAGTACAAAGTCTCCCTGAGAAACCATACATTTCTATCACCTGTCAAATGTCTGCAGTACTCTGCAAGGCAATGTAATCAACTATTATGGCAACAAGCACTGAGAAGAGCCTCAACTCTGAGACTGCACTTGCACCCACAGGAAAACCTGTCACCTTTAAGCACCGTTGAGGGAAAAGGGAAGGGCAGAGGCTGGACCATGGCTTGCCCAGTATTCGGAGCAATGAGCCTGCTCGAAGAAAACAATTCTGATGAACTGCTGAGCGGACACTATCTCATACCCATGCCAGTTGCTCTTTCACATGATCAGATGCACCAGAAGGCCCTGTGTTCATTCAGCAGCTGGATCTTTCCTAAAGCTCAGAAAGGCCCAGGATTGCAAGGGTCACTTGACACAAACTGGAGAAGACTCCCTGCTAGGGCTCAGAAATTGTTCACCTGAAGCTTCTGTGATTTCGCATGACCTCTGACTGAAGTGAGGGCAGTGTAAATAGCCCACTTCTCTCCCCAAGACCATCTGATCGTCTCTTGTTCCAGAATGGTTTCTAACCAGGTGGCACCCCTGCCCACCCAGACTGTAGGCTGCAGTCAGTTTAGGAAAATGAGGAAGTGGAGCTCCCTCATCGCATGTGCAAAATGATGTCAGGCTGTGGGATCACCATCACTGCCCCTAAGTTTTAGAGTTCACCCATGCGCCTCCTCAGTGGTTCACCAGAGATCTTGCCTGAGCACCCACTGAAGCTCTCACTTCTTCTACAGGCGCATGGATGGAAAGGAGGAGATCCAATGAGGGGATCTATTTTTTTGCTTCAGAACAGGGAAGAACATTACTTGCTCTCTGTACTTAGTTTGTACTATCTGTACTATCATACTCACTGTGGGTATTTTTTTCTGTTTTAATAAATAAATCTGTAGAGACATTTTTGCCCTTCCCAAAGGTAAATATTTTCTGTTCTTGAATGTTGTATGTTGCTTGTGTAAGAAACTCCAAAAGTTTCAGATGTCATTGGCATTACCCATGAGGTCTCTTGTGAGAGCTTTTGTCTGTGTTGTAGAATATAGCAATGAGAAGTTGTGTCTTATGCAAAGGGGCCTTCCTGTTACTTCTTACTCACAGAAGTCACAGAAATATTTTCACTTTTTTTTTCTTATTCATTTATTTCAGTTGTTCTGTTCCTGCACTGCCTACCTTTTTATCAGAGCTCATATCTGTATGAATGTGATCTAGATGATGTACAGTCCACCATCTCCCAAACATTTGCTGTAGATATTGACAAGTACTTCAAAGTTGAGAGTTATGAAATTAAACTATAGGCTAAGCTTCGTGAAGGTTTTCATTAAGGTCTTCACAGAGAATTTCAGCAGCTAGATTAATGTTTTCCATGCCCCCAGTTTTGGAGTCTGCTTTCAACTGGAACAGTGTGTGGTTTTCAATAGTACTGAAATGGAGACAGAAATGCTTTGCAGTAATGAAAAGTTTTTATTTATTCTCACTCTATGATATCAGTATAAGAATTAATAAGACAAAAAAAGCAGTGGAGGTATGAAGTCTTTAAAAAATAAGCCTTTATACAATCATCTAACCACTGCAAGCATATATGTAGTTAAAAGTCAGAGGGCCCTTTATTTGTTTGGTTAATCAGTTCATTCAGGCCAGTTCTCCCTGTAATACTGAAGCACAAATGCTGTTTCATTTTTACAAATCAGCTGAGAAGCATGAAATATTAAAAAAGCACAGCAGGGCAGGTATGTCCCACAGTGTCCATTAAAACTATAGGGAAAAACATATTCTCCCTCCCAAAAACAAACAGCTCCAAACCCATCTTATCATCTGCAGAGTTTCTTATTTAATTTGGATATATTATACCTTGACACCAGCTTTATAGAATGCTTTCTTACATGATTATTACATATGTGACCAGAATTTTTTTCCCACCAAGACCCCTCAGTACAAAGAGATGGAGAAGAAATTCCTATGCTTCTTATGAAGTTGGAATGCATAAGATGTGCAAAAAAATGCACAACTACTGAAATTGGTGGTGTCTGTATGAGATAAATCTGCTTGTAATTGCTAGAGGCGTATGTGTGTGTGTGCCTGTGTGCATACGTGTGTGTGTGTGTGTGTATTCCTGAAGCTTAGTCAGTATCCCTCCTGACTTGTTCTCTTGCTTTTTATGTGGTAGGAGGGAAACCATTTCACTCCACCACAAATTGCATCTTCCAATATTACCTGTATCTGCTGCATTTTGAAGTGGGCTATGAGGGAATAATTAATGTTTACGAGACAACCTGAGAACCATAGATTCAGATTTGAGAACCAGTATTTTATTACAGGGACAGTGGAACGTTTGGTTTTGTTTTAGTATGAGATCAGTTGCAGAAATGACAGGGACATTGTGAGACTTTTGACAAAAGAGAAATTACCACGGCATAATGAGTCTAATGTCTTGTTTCTTTTTTCTCCTTCTCTCCTGCCTGCACCCCTGTCTGTATACAAAGGGGCTAACGCATCTGCTCCCGACCAGCTGAGCCTAGCACTAGCCTGGAACAGAGTAGACATCGCTCGCAGTCAGATCTTTATTTACGGGCAACAGTGGCCGGTACAGTATATACGCATTTTCTCCTGGAAACACTTTAAACCCTACGCTACAGTAAATCCATTCTGTTGGCAGTGGTGGTTTTAACACAATTTAAAATACAGTGGGTCATGCTCCCAGCCAAACACGCGGTTCCCATTCACAGCTGCTGAAGGCGGGCACAGTTACAGAGACGTTAATGTGTTTTTTCTTGCCCAAGGAAATGGTGACATCTAGCGACACCTTAACAGTGGGAAACCATATCTTTGAAAAAAAAGCAAAGTACCAGATTTATACCACCAAGCAATGATTCTGCAAGTGAGAAAAAACGATGTCTGTGTACAGCCATGTTTCAGTGCTAGGCTATAAATTAAAGGAAAAGCAAAACATTGCTTTTCCACCAATATGCTTCTGTATGCAAATACTGAATTGTAGGATGATTTGATGCCACAAATAGGCTGCATAAATGTTGGAGGTCAGATCGATCACAGGAGCTGATCAGCAGTGCCACCACAGATGGGCTGTGCCCCAGACCTCATGTGGTGTTAATTCTGTGTCCACTGCTGCTCTGCATCAATCTGCCTAGTTCACATCTGTGCTCCAGTGGCAGGGTCCCTGGCCAACACCGTTCCCGGGGAAGAGAGGGGAAGAGATTCTCTGCAGGAGTCATAGGGCTGTAAATAAATACTCCTCTGCATGGGGCACAGGAGTAGTCAACTCCCAAACTGTGCTGCAGTTTTTACAGTGGTAGAAGTCATCCAAAAAAACCCAGAAGGACTCTATTTCTACCTTTATCTCCTTAAAGCCCACCTTATCTTCACTCAGAGAGTGTAACTGGATCAGAATATTCATTACTGTAACACTTATTTCATCATAGTCATTAAAATTTCCTATGCTATCATTACATGAGCATTTACAACTCCCCATGGAAAAATTATAACAGTAGGAAAAGCTTCTGTTTAAATATCATTGCTTTAAATGTAGTTTCTGAAACTTGCTGCCCCTTAAAGCTAGTTTCAGAAATCCTTGATTTTCAGTTATGGAGTGAATAGAACTATTTATCTTGTCTTCCATATTAGACATAAGTATGCATCAAAACATAGGAGGGATTTTAATGGTACTAAACTGCCCCTATTGTTATCTCTTTATCACCACATTACAGCAAAAATTTGCATAAATGCAGCAAGCTGCAATCATTTTGCAAGCTAAAAGCTGGAAGTGTGAGATAATCTCTCATCATTCTGACACCTTCTAACCTACAAGAGATAAAAAGGTTTTTTTTAAGAAGACCTCTTGCATTTGGCCCTTCAAAGAAATGCAAATTGTGAAGCTATTTCCGTTTCCTGAGTGTCCAAGTTTCCCTGAGTTTTCACACCACAAACAAAGGAAAACACTAGTAAAGACAGAATTAAAGGGTGTGTATGTGCACATAACAAATATATCCAATATAAACAAAATGTTTGACAGGAAAACAAGACATAAAGATAATAATGAAACGGTGCATAGGGTGGAGGTGTGTTCACCAGTTTTCTGAGCTCCAGTTCCTTGATCCTAGTCTGGTTTTCCTAAAGTATTTTCATCTTAACAGTCTGACATTCGGTTTTGAAGTGCAGCCCTGAGCCAGGGAAACCTTTATAGACTAAAACTGTGGTTATCCCATTTTAAGTGCAAAAAAGCAACCCTCAGAATTTTGTCAGTGTTCCTCGCTTGTGCCAGGGTGACTAAACCAGCTGGATATAGGCCTACTGTGCTGAGGAACTGCTTCAACTAATCACTTGCTTTGCAGGTGGGCTCCCTTGAGCAAGCAATGCTGGATGCACTGGTGTTGGACAGAGTGGATTTTGTGAAATTACTCATAGAAAATGGAGTAAGCATGCATCGTTTTCTCACCATCTCCCGGCTAGAGGAACTGTACAATACGGTAGGGCCAATCTAAGGCAAATTTTCTCTCTCTATGTTCATTGTTCTAGCTCCCACTTGTTTTATAATGACATGATAATGCACAAGGCAAGAATTTTCCATAAGTTCCCATTATCACTTAGCTTTGTCTCTCAAATAATGTAACATGCCCACCTAATCTACTGTACAGATTTTGTAGGACATAGATTAAACCCTACACAGTACCAGTTGATTTCCTGCCATTGTAATTCCAGTAGGATAGACCTGGGATTTAGGCAGGTATCACTGGCCAGAAGAGTGTAACTGGCAAGTTAGGACTTATTCAATGGTGTATATGACTCCTGATGGTATGGTTTCAGAAAAATCTGTTTAGATATGATCTGAAAAATGGTAACAACTGAAGAGACAATAATGTTTGCAGGTGATTTAGACTCACTCAGAGTGGGAAAATCTGAAGCAGCATAAGGAAAGTCTCATGCTTAGACATGGGGTTACATAAAATTAAGTGTTAACAAATGCAGAGCAATGCATATATGGAAACATCAACTCTGCACGTAAGCAGTGGTGTCATCCATCATCAGCTACAAGAAGATGGCTCACAAAAGTCTCTTAAAATATCATCAACAATCAAAACCAAAGCAGAAAATAAAGTAAGATATAATATATAATAATAAGATATAATTTTGCAATGTCAGGTGGAGTCAAAAGAAGATTGGACAATTTCACAGACTGTCCATGCACTTAGTGGCTTTCAGATGAGACAGTCGAGATGCAATGTCAGGCTCAGGATCTCTGTGAGCCACCAACAGTGGGAGCAGAGGTCCTGAGTGCAGGAATGCTGACACTAGAGCAGCTGTTTTCCTTCCATTCTTTCCCAGAGGTTGTGCATGTTGTGCTGTGCTCCTGCTTTGTCTAAACCGGGAGCCTAATCTGGTATATAGGACCTTAATTTTCTTCCAGTATGGCAATATTGGGAGTTTCTTATGGAAGGGTTTTGTACAAAAGAGAATTCGGATGAAATTGAATCTTGTGATTGTTTGTTTTTTTTTTTAATTGATAACACTGTACAAATTGAAGTGTTCTCAGCTCCATGATATCTAAACTACTAAGGTGAGAAAGATTTACATTTATATTTACATTTTTTGGATCTTTGGACAATGCAAAATTTTTTTTTTTTCTTTTTCATTTGTTCTTTGCAGAGACATGGACCATCCAACACTCTGCATCATCTAGTCAGGGACGTCAAAAAGGTAAGAGTCCAATGGACGGTAGGTTGAAAATAATGTTATTATTGCTTTTCTGTAGCTAGATCCTATCTCTGCTTTGCATGAGCTTTCAGTCAAAGCCTTCTCCTTTCCCTGCCAGTACAGAATGTCCTGTTTGTATGCTCCAAATATGAACGTTTTGCATACAAAGCACAATTAGCAAGTTATTTGTCTTGCTTTCTCTGTGGTTTTAGATGCCTGAGTAATAGTGCTTCTGTTAGCCTAATTGTAGGCTCTTACATATGTGTGGATTTATGCTGTTATATTTGTCCATACCTGCAACTGTTGTCAAAGCTACTTTTTGTGTTGTTGGTTTACTTCCAAGCCCATAAAATAGTCCTTATCCCTGTGCTGGATCCTGCTGTGTTGAAACAGTTCCTCATTCTCTATTGTGTGATACATTGTAGCCATCTTCCTCAGCAGAAATATAAAAAAGGAGTAATGCAACTTTCCCTTGCTCCTTATAATATTAATTTCAATCATCTTGAATTACAAAGATCCATTAGAAGGGCAGGACAGAAACACTGAAAGGGATAGTGGCAGGAAGGAGATATCAAATACCTTTGCCAATGTGTTCAGGATTAAAAGTGTTACAGCAGCAGTAATGAATGAAAATCCATTATCCTTTAAGTATATGGATCAAGCAAGGAGATTGAGTCTGCAACTGACCTCATCAGTTTGAATATTCTCCCTAAGCATGGGCAGATTACAACCTTGCACATTATGTAAGGAGGACCTCAAGGGTAGCATACTTGAGAAAGGATATTTCTGTACATGGGACTAGATAGAAGACTGAAAAAGGAAAGGATGTTTTTTCTAAGAGCACAGGTTTTAGTGGTTTCGTCTGTCAGTGACAGCTGAACAGAACTGAAGTCAAGTAGGGGAGAAGAGTGGCAGTGTATCCTATAGCACCTTTCCATTAAATAATTCTACAGAATAATCAGTAGCTATGTTTAGGGAGGTTATGGTGGTTTTCTTTGGTCAGTGTGTTATGTGGCATCTTCATTTTCCAATGATATATAGTATATTAAGTGACCACTGAAAAGCGTGAAACACCTACAAAGAAACTGAAAGTGTTCTTATGCACAAATCCTCTTGGATGGAGCAGAGTAAAACTGGAATGCATTTAGACTAAATACTGCTCTTGAAGCCTAAGTTGCCAGAATATGGTTTTTTTACTAACTATGCAGTTATTCATATGCCTATAAGAGTTGGAAAGAAGCCTCATCTGTCTTATACTTTAAAATATATACTTTTCCAAACTCCTTCTCTCCCCTAGAATCACCTTTCCAAGTCCTTCTTCAAAGGCATAGCAATTTGTGTGTTGAGTAACTAAACAATATCAATCTCTTTTTCCCAAGTCCCTAAAAAGTATGTGTTTTCAAGGGGGAAAAAAAAATCATGAAAAAAAATCAAAGTAGGCAAAGACGATTGGTACTCACAGCCATATATTGACAAACATTAGATAAACTTTCACTATATTCAAAGACATTATTTTTTCCACAGTGACTACTAAGTGTTAGGTCACGGTCTTCTTTCCGTAAATACATCTTTCTTTCCTCTGTCCATATTAAAATCTTCAGTAATTCCCACTACATGAAGTCAGTGTGTGCTCTCATAAACATGGTTGAGAGCTTTAAAAACAGACAGCCTGGTGCAGCTCTTCAGCACTTTCATCAGAAAACTGCTCCACTGGGGCTGTATTTTTCATTTTGTCAGTGATGAGGAACAACTGCAGTTCACAGGGAGAAGTGACAGCTTACTATAGCCCTGCCAGTGAGCAGATCCCTCACCAGGCAACCAAGCCATAAATCGGTCAGCAGATCAGACAACCATTTAAATGAAAACACCTCCTTGGAAATAACTTCTTAATGGATGCATAACTATTTGACAGTTAAATGGCCCACCATGCATGAGAGGCAGACCATGCTGCTGATGCTAGTTTTTTGAGTTTGTGTATATTTTGATGACAGACACCTAACCTCTCACCTAACCTCTTCGATTTAATTGCAGCATCACAAAATATAAATACAAAAATAAGTAATATGTCACCTTGAGACAACACTTAAAGTATATTAAATACACTATGCTTTTATGCATATGTCTTAGTTTTAAAACTTGCACTATTTAATGCAGGTATGTATGCTAATACAATGTATGGTAAAACAATTATTTTCCTTTGCATTTTTGTGGATTCTCACAATAGAAAATGTGTTTAAAACCATAGAAGCAGTATTTAATTTACTGCAATTGGACTATATAACTGTATAAATAAGTAGGAGGGGGGTTGTTTTGTTTTGGTTTGGTTTGGTTTGTTTGAAAGACTACTTTATCTGCTTAATAAATCAAATAATTAGAACAACAGAAGTCACATTACCACATCCTGTTTGTGGCAGCTTACAGACACACATGTGTGCGCGTGTGCACACACGCACACGTATGTGCTTGCACAAGCATAATACAACAATTTATTTCCCCCTTGTATTTCCAAATATTGCTGTGAGGACTGTTAGCTTGGGCAGCATATTGTAAAGGCCTGGATTCAGAGTCTTAAAGAATTTACAATAATCAAAACATGCATAAATTCTGCATATATTAACAAGACAAAACACATCATAATGACTCTGCTTTAGAGACAACTGTGCTCATATCACCTTTCAGTCCTCACAATTCCATAAATACATACAGGGACAAATTTGCCTGTGTCTTTCTCATCATGGCCTTTTTGATGGCCCCTGTCAAGTGTCCAGAATTTCACATACAGCATTGGCTCCCTTCCATAGACCATACATGCCGATGCACCCATGCTAAGCAGAAAGAATCAGGCAGTGGCTGTAGTGGACACCCTGTCTGTAAGTGGAGGTTGCGCTCTACATTTTATTTTTTTTTAATCCTTCCCTGCCTCAGCTAGCTGATGAAGATCAGTGGAAATTATCAGATGGATTTTCTTTCTTTTGTCCAAATATTTTATATAATCAATATGCCTCAATTCCACTTTGGGGTTATTTGTATTTCCAAAAGTTTTTTGTTTTGAACTGCCACTGTATGTCTACATTTCCAGAGAACAAACCAGCAATTTACAGAATTTTGGAAGTATTATTTTTCCTCAGCATGGAAAATCAGAGGCTTGGTACTTGCTGACACAAAAATGCACCTGAAGTGAAAAGAATACTGTAACTGACTAGCTACAGCTAAAAGCTGAAGTTTCTTCAGGAAAAGAGTAATGCATTAACAGTGAGACCTTGTTCCAACATTAAAAAATTAGTTGATTATTAACCAGGACACCTATCATACCCAATGATCAAACCTTGTCCTCTGTCATTCCTGACAACCTCGGCTATACTAGAATTAACTCCTCCAAATTTTTGCTGTTCTTGGAGTGATTTCAACCCTGTGCTTCAATCACAAACATCCTCAGCGCTGCCTGGGTGGTTTGAGCTGTCTGCTAACAGAGCAAATGCTTTGGCACTTGCATAACCCCTCTTCACAAGGATGATCCAGTTGTCTTTACTGGGGCTTCTCACCTCGGAAAAGTAACTATGTTAGCAAGGAGACATACATGTGTCTATGTTTACAACATGTATTTCTGCTGTGAATTTGGGAGTTTCCTTTAGTGAAGAGTTTCAGTATTATCTAGGAGGTTTAGATGCATTTTTTGTCAAAGTTACTCTACTGGAACTTTTTAATCTAAATTCTTTTACAAAAATTTAGGAATCAGAATTACATCAAGAAACTTGTGCTTTGTAACACATGTAGCACACTGATGCCTGTTGTGCTTTCTTAATTGCTCAAATATTTTTTGCCACTTAATAATATCAAAGCTTTCAGTTTTAGTGGAGACATTAAGACTGAAGGAGCCTGTTGAGCCACAACCCTGTCCTGAAGCTACAACTCCCATTTCTGCCATTGCCTTTATTCTTGTTTTGTTAAAACTGTCATTTTACACATTCTGGAGAGAAAAGAACACTTTGGAGAAAAAACAAACTTAGCAGGATTTATTTTTTTTAAACTGAATTTTTACATTTATTTTTCATTTAAATTTTAGATGTTATTTTTCTTTAAATGGTTCGTTATAAAAATTTCTTTGTCCAAATTAGCTAAGCTAATATGCATTCCTGCAAAGCATAGTAATTCCCCCACCCATCAAATTAGACAAGATTAGGAAGATTGCAAAAGGATATGCTAAGAGACATTACTTAAAAATGGTTAGCAGCTCAATTTTTGGCACTACATTTGCTTGGTTTTCTGAATCTTGGAATCCCAGCTGATTGCTAGGCATAGTACACCACAGCACCACCTCCCTCTCTCCTTCCTCAGCCTTTTCAGCATGCCAGTTGTACTGTGGCAGCAGGGCAGGAAATAAGAATCACACTTCCCGGCTGAAGTAGAAGAGGAAGGAGGATCTTTGCATCCATTTTATCTCTTCTGCAGAACCAGTTGCCATCTGCTCTCCATTAGTGTTTCTCTGCTCTGAATCTAATAAGCACATCTGCAGAGAAGCCAAGCAGACATCTCCAGACACACAGATATTTCCAGCAAGACATGACAGTCATAAAATTGCTCCATGCGAATTACTAACCTTCTAATGAACACATAAAAAGAGCTACAGGCTCACTGTAATCTATGCTGTATATCGTTATAGAAAATTAGATTACTTTATTACAGAACACTGAAAAATTTTGAAGCTAACTATTACAGTTTTCTGGTCCTTCTGCAGTGTTGACTATACAAGATAATTTTTTATTAAAGTAATATTCTCCTTTTGCAAGGCTACCACTCACAATACAAGGAAGAATAATTTACCTCTCTCTCCACCTTTGTTTTTTTAGTCCCATCTTTTGCACAAGGACATAGGGAACAGAGAGGGTTCTGTAAATCTGCAAGGTTCTTAGTGAGATCTCTAGATCCAGGTGAGCTATTTACAATTTGCTGAATCATACCTTCTTTTCTGGTAGAGAACTGCTCACTGAACTGTCATCCAATCAACTCTGAATCAGTGAGTTCAAGAAGGCAAACTTTCATTTGTGTCCATTCCCTTTCTGTTAGTCCTTTCCTCCAATAAAGGGATCAGAGTTTTCCTTGTGGAGTTCCATGGGGAGGAAGAGAAGAGCAGGTGTGCCCATGCTGGGGTTTTGTTCCTCCATTGCCAGAGACCCCCAAGAGACTTCACCAGCACATCATGAATGCAGTTCAGCCTGAAATTGTTTTAGCCTACCAGGTGTCCCATTGGGTTTACTGCAGCTGGAGAATAGCAATGCCCCATTAACTCAAAGGCAAAGTCAGAAAAACACAATCTGTTGCTGAAATCTTTCTTTGTAGTTTTGCAAGCCGTAGGTACTGGAGAATTCATAAACTTAGTAGTGCCATTTTCAGGCTTGACAGTGAAGAAAAGGAAGATATCTGCAAGGGAGTTCACATAGTGAGGGCAGTCAGATGTGGATGTACTCATTCTTTTTCCTTTCAAAATAAAAGGTACATGCTGGAGACATCATATATGTATTTTAGCAAAGGAGAATAAAGAAAAATAAATGGAAGGGCAATTATGTAGGCATCTTCTCCAGGATCCTGCTAATGACCCTTGCCACAAACACAGTTCATGTCTTGGGAGACAATCTCCATGGCTCTGCTGGAAGTTAGGTAGCAAGACTATATGTTTTGAGGGGCTTTCAATAAAATATATCAGGAGCTCAAGTAGGAACAATCTAGGAAAATTGCTGGGACTGTAGTTTTCTTCATAAACAAACCACAAAATAATTAGCCACAGTTTTATTGCAACTTTCATACATACAGGTGCTTTCCTCATTCTTGGTCTGGAATTTAAGCTAGGATAGGTGCTCTTTGAACATCACTCCAAGAATGAATGCTGATAGACTCTGATTGCATCTAGCAACTAGATAATAATAATAATAGCTCATGCGCTGTTTAAGTCTTCTAGAGATGGTAACACCACTCTTGCCTCCTGCCCTTCCTTTCCTGGAACACGGGAAGGAAACACTGCAGAATGGGAAGATCACACGCAGGAGCTGGTTCCATGTGACCAAAAGATGTTGCATGGTGTCCCTTTACTGTGACTTTTCTGTTCCGATGAGGCAGTCCAATGAGATGCCAGAAGAGATATGAGATGCCAGGATGATTGTGGGTGACAGATGATGCAGAAAAGGTGCTATCTTGCAGAACTAGAGTCCAGCAACTGTGCCTGACCTTTCAAGTGTTTCAATCCTCATGCTTTTTGTTCTGCAGTCATGTTCCTTGTTTCCCCAGCTGAAGAGTATGAGTACTGTATATTGTTATCTTCTGTTACTTACAACAAGTTCTTCACCTTCTTATTTAACTTATGTCTTCTTTCCAAGCGAGAATATCCAGGTTTCGGTTGGATCTATTTTCAGGTGAATTAATTAACCAGTATAACATTCCTGCTTTTAACTATTTAATTTTACTTTTTTTATTCTAACGTCATTATAAAGTACATTTAAAAATTCCAGTAACAAGCATTTCTTCTTCTCCCACCATCCTTTTTTCTATCACAGGGAAACTTACCTCCTGATTATCGGATAAGTCTGATTGATATTGGTTTGGTGATAGAGTACCTGATGGGAGGAGCATATCGCTGTAATTACACACGAAAGCGTTTCAGAACATTGTATCACAATTTATTTGGTCCCAAGAGGGTAAGAAACAAGTTATTTGCCATCTGCATGACTGTACCCACAGCAGGGATTACCACAGCTTCTTATATGGTTCCAGATAGAGTGGATCCACATGCACACACCATGCAGTCTACAGATTCATTTCCATTATGTAGGTAGCACTTATCTCACCATAATTCATCACAAGCCAGGCACTGATACAAACTGTGGTTTTTATTAATTTAATGAAAAAATTATTGGGCTCTGCTGCCCTGGTGAGACCAGCATATAAAACTCTCTCCTCTAACTCTAAAATCTGTAATTATGACTATTAACAGCTTTTAAATGACAAGTCTTTTGACCTGCACAAATAATAGTATAGGACATCTGGGTTAGACTTGAAAAACTTGTGCATTGTTAGATGCATCTCCTATCTCATGGCTCATCTCCTAATGTAGCGTGAAGGTCTCAGGGCAAAGGAACCCCTAACTCAAAACTGGTTTTATTGGTTGGATAGTCAGTGGGTTCGTGGCCAAGCCACTGCTCAGTATTTTTGTGAGTTTTGTGTTCAATAGATTACAACACTATGAATCAAAAGTAAGGTTACTGCCTCTCCAGAGCACAAAAGCTGTTTATTGCCACTGATGCAATCCAGCATGAACAAAAATCTGCTCAACTTCTCCCAGTAAGATTTGTAGTTCCTTTGTGTATTTTTACCTCACATTTTAATTTTCTGTCTCAGTTCAGATTTTAGCAATACACACCATTGGATGTAGTTAAGTGTCTATAAATAGCAACAGATCTGTGAAATCCATCTGAAGTGGGTTTGTTTGTTTCCCTACACTTTTATTTTTCACATTTGAAAGAAAAGACAGTAACTGTAGCTGCTGGAAGAGACTTCTTTCCCATAGTCACTCCATCAAGGAAAGCATTTGGGTAGTGATTCCACAAATACTGAACCAACACACAGAGCAGCTCCACAACAGTCAATAAGAGTATGCCAGGGCAATAGCCGAAACACTGATATACTCCACAGAAATCCCTTTCTGCCTTATCAGTAATTCCTCTCTCTTTCCCGCTAGAGCAGCCCCTAACTGGATGCAATTTCCACCTGAATCCAAATGTATGTCTTGTGTTGTGTTTTTGGTGAAATAGGGTCGAACTTAAGCTTGACATAACTATATATATGCAATTATTTGATTGTTATATTTATGTATATCATATTACATTGCATTGTATTACATATATATTATAGTCTATATTCTACATCACATTATACATGTATGTACATATATATGCACAAATAGTTGTAATTTTTTATTACTAAATAACATTTTTCCAACTTTTTTTGTACAGCCAAAAGCCCTGAAACTGTTGGGAATGGAGGTAGGCAACCTGTGATAAATCTTAATATCTTTTCCTTCTTTGACAAATATATGCTATATCCAGAAAATATTTAAATTCACTGTAATGAAGGCATAAATTGTATTTTTCACCCAGATAACTAGTTTACACAGTGGCCAGATTAAGAAACATTTCTTAATAAAAGTCGAGCAGATAGACAAGGGAAAAGAGGGCTCTGCCCCCTCTAGGGATCTTTTTTTTTTCATGTGGATTAAACAAAATATTTCAGTCTGTCAGGCCAAGCAAAATTTCAGTGAGATATCTATATACTGTCAAAACATGTTCAGAGAAATTAAATACTTGCAGAGAATGATGCAGAAATCTTTGTATAGGCCAAAGTTCTCTCGGTTTTATTGGCACTATTTGGCTACTCCAATGCTTCAAGGAGATAATAGTGTTTTCAGAATAGGTCCGCTCATCTGATAAAAGCAATATGCTTGAATGAGAAAGAAACTAAAGGTGATAGAAACAATAAAGAGATGGAAAAAGAAGGAATGAATGTGCAGAATAGGAGTGAAGAAGGGAGACTGCTGTCTTTGTAAGAGGATAAAGGGAGAAAACACAAGAATAAGCATGGAGGGAATCTTCAGCAGACCAGAACATTCTCTGGATGTATACTTTCTGGAGGTGGAATGAGACAGGTGGATTATAGCAGATGTTATATTTGGAGAGAACTCTTAACTTTTATTTTAATGGTGGCTTTTCCAAAATGATTCTTAATATTGTGTGATAGGAAGAAGGAACAATTCAGAGTGACAATTCAAGGCTCTTTTCCCTGTGTTTAGATATGGGGTTACTGACTTTTTAATTACAGTTCATACACCAATACTTTTTTTATCATTTTCCTATGTTAAATATTTTGTCCAAAAAAAGATGAAGGGGATGGTCTGCAGAAAATGCATTTGACATCTCAGGTACTGACTTCAATTAATTGTGTGAATTGATCCAGTTCCTTCACTCGTGAAAAAAAATACAATTTTCACAGGATGATGTCCCTCTGCGTCGAGGGAGGAAAACAACAAAGAAAAAAGAAGAAGAAGTTGATATTGATATGGATGACCCTGAGATCAATCACTTTCCCTTCCCATTCCACGAGCTCATGGTGTGGGCTGTGCTGATGAAACGTCAAAAGATGGCCCTCTTCTTTTGGCAACATGGGGAAGAGGCTATGGCTAAAGCACTGGTGGCCTGTAAACTCTGCAAAGCCATGGCCCATGAAGCATCGGAAAATGACATGGTGGATGACATATCCCAAGAGCTGAACCATAATTCCAGGTGAATTTCCTTTCATGTACATTTTTCTGAGAGAAAAAAAGAAGAGAGAAGAGAGGCTGGAGAACCTGCCTAAAATGTTCTTATCTGTACCTGGCTGTCTTTTCTAACTTGTAGGGAAAATGCAGTCCCTTTAGAGAAAATCTAAATGGCCTTTAAACAATCTGTCTACCAGAGTAGCAAAGTTTCTAGCAGTGTAACTTCTGAAAGAGAAGGTGTCAAGAAGGCAGTGAAATATCTATATTGTATATGTGTTCTCCCTGTGGGCTCAAGAGACAAGCTGCAATATTTCTCTGTGCTTTTTCAAAACACTCGGTACATACCAAGCAGAACAGTTATTGAAATCCTTAGGAACATACTAGTCAGGCAAAAGTGTTAATTAACCAAGAGCTCACGCTTAGGTGAGCAAGGCAAAATACTAGATTCCATAAGAATCTTTCCTGAGGTTCAAAGTCGGAGGTGCAGAATTTAAAAAGGGATATTGGATGCTCCTTTTTCCAAGAGACTTGACCATGAAGCCATGGGCAAACAGCACAGAAGCAATCCTTTAGGCTGCAGATAACCAGAGGATTTCAGCTAGAAAATGTCAGGGAGGTGGGCAGGAAGGTGGGAGCAGACAGCTGGTAGGTGTGGGTGTTCATCACAGCTCAGTCAGGGCACTTATTTATATACCTAACATTAGACACTCATATTTGAAATTGTGGGTTTCCATATGTACAGTTGACATCACAATTTGCACGATGGAAGGTGATGTCCCCCTTACAGAGGCTGTCAGTTGCAGAGAGGTGTTTTCTGCATAGGCCTACGTGGGCTAACAGGAGTGAATGGATGTCCCTCTGTTGCAGGGACTTCGGCCAGCTGGCTGTGGAGCTGTTGGACCAGTCATACAAGCAGGACGAACAACTGGCAATGAAACTGCTGACCTATGAGCTGAAGAACTGGAGCAATGCCACATGCCTGCAGCTTGCAGTGGCAGCCAAACACAGAGACTTCATTGCTCACACTTGCAGCCAAATGCTGCTCACAGACATGTGGATGGGTCGCCTCCGGATGCGCAAAAATTCTGGCCTAAAGGTGAGTCCTGTTTTAAAATAAAATAAACATTCAGAGGAGTTCTGATAAATGGTGACAGAGCTCACAACAAGTCAGTTATAACTGTCTCAATTAACCATATTTCAGGTTCTTATTTACAGTGACATTAAGCAGGGTATATTCTTCCTGTGTTCAGTTTTTCAGCAGGAAACTTGTCTCAAACCTAAGTTCAAAGCACATTACTTAGTTTTTTGATTCCCTTTCTCAAAGGCCCCTCTGGCACTGGTTATCAAAATAAGAATTGAGGCAGGAGATCATTGTGTCATCCTGCCTGTATACTTGAGGAGTTAGCCAAGTGTTCTAGAGATAAAGAAAAGGATGTGTAAGTGAATTAACTGCTAGTGAAAGGTGCTGATCTAACAACCTTCTCCAGAACAGACAAAAGCAAGCAACACAAATTTCCTTGCAATCCCTTGCCAATCTTCCTGATGACTGTCCTGAAGGGTCTACCCTAGAGGCTCTAGAGGACAATTCAATTTTCAAAGCTCTTTAAGCTTTATTTCCACAGTTGACAAAACTGCTAACAGAGCAAGGTGAATTCTGGGAGATTAATTTGTGTCCATTTCACCTTCACCAGTCACCAGTCAGAACATAACCAGGAATTGCCTCTTCCTCCTAGATCACTGAGAACTATTTTCAGTATAAGGATTGTCTCTCCTGCACTAGTTGGGTGTATGAAAAGTAGTAGTTGCTCAGCTGTTTTGCTGTGTGAAAAGACGTTTAGTAATGTCAAGAATGCTTAGGAGTACATGTATCATTATCATACTGGGTCTAATCCAGTGACAGCGACAAATGAGAATGAGTAGCTGATAGCATTCTCATCACCCTCCTGCAGGACCTGTGCGTGTTGTTTTTCTGCTACAGATAGAAAACAATCTCACATTTCGAGACATTTCTACTACCTATTTTCTGACTTAACTCACAGGCCTGTTGCCCTTCAGAGGGACAGCTGCTTTGTTCCCTGTTTGGTTTTGCAGATATTCAACCTGAGTGCACAGGGAAGAGTGCAGCAACTGATTTCCTACTTTTCAGCATTCCTCTTTTCAGCATACACCTCTTAAGCCATAAAATAGACCTTTCTTTCATAGCGAATAACTGAAGGTAACAGGCTTTTTCTTTTCAGCTTCTTGTAACATCAGGGCTTCACAAGAGTCTTTTATTCAGTTTCTAGTCTGTGGTTTACTCCACTGAGGCTCATTAGCAGGGCATGTTTAAAGCAGGCTACAAGCTACAAAAGTAAGAGGCAGCATGGCAAAGAAATAAATTTGCAAGCATGAGTCATGGTTTATTTCCCAAGAACCAGGCTCTCCCTTCGAAACTGACAAATGGTAGGAAGACTGAATGTAATCCTTTAGATTTTTGCTGGAGATACATAGCACCAATGGAAGGGGCAGAGGCAATTTTTAATCCTGCCTGTTCTTAAAAATAGCCTCTCTGTGAAGCCAGGTCTGCCTGTAACCCCCTCTCCCTGGGCACATGCTTTTGTGAGTGCAGGAGCAGTATAAGTAGCTCTTCTGAGACAGGGCACGGCATTCATTAGCTGCTCCTAATTGCATACTTGAATGGTTTCAACAACACACAGGCTGTCTGCTGATATGATGAGCACAACCAGTCATCCTTCCTGACCAACAAGCTAACTATCTGGTTTCACTGTCATTTAGGGAGGGATTTATAACAAAATCGTTCTCCAAGAGATTACAGCATAACCTGGAGACTTCTTGTGCATATGAATACAGACAGGCTACTTCTCTTTGTGTTATTATGATATCTATTCAGGATTTAACCCCAACCATTGTTCATTACTTATATATCCACACAAGGTAAATTAGTGGTTTCTACACTCCTGTATCATAAGAGAGGGAAGGCAGAAAGGAAAGACCTGGCATTAACATGACCATTACACAGGGCCTGGTTACTGAAGCAAAATCTAAGGGGACCACATATCTAAGCACATCAGTACACACACACTTTGACTACCTATGTGCACTAAACATGGACACAGAGAGCTTGAGACCTATTAATCCTCTGTGCAGAAACTAATACTGCTTGTGTGTAATTTACACTTACATTTTCTATTATGTAAAATTCAGAAATTTGCAGGTCCAAGGTCTGAACACCTGTGTGCTCCCACCTACCACTGACCTTATATAATACTTTGTAAATATATTCTAGTATGTAGCAACATACGTCTGATAAGGCACAAACAGATAAAATATTCAAGGGCATTCACAACAACACTAGTAGAAGTTATATGCTTTGTTTCACTACTCTGAGAGCATTATCCCAAATGACAAATGCTATATTGTTGTAGAAACTCACATGCACACATATCTTTCTTTTCCTAAATGTCCTAAGGGAGTTGTTCTATTTGATGCTAAGTAACCATTATGACCGTATCTACTTTCTGTGATGATTACTGTTATCATTATTATTGCTTTAGGTAATTCTAGGAATTCTACTTCCTCCTTCAATCCTCAGCTTGGAGTTCAAGAACAAAGATGATATGCCCTACATGTCCCAGGCCAATGAGATCCATCTTCAAGAAAAAGAGCCAGAAGAACCAGAGAAGCCAGTGAAAGAAAAAGATGAGGAAGACATGGAACTCACTGTAAGTGCTGACAATAAATCATCAACCTCAGCACTGTCAATTTGTTATTCCTACTTCTGTAGGCATTACAGAGTGTCTGATGGCTAAATTAGCAGATGATAGGATACCACTCTTCACATTCCTCTCTCCTCCATGGGTACTCAAACCATATAAGTTGGCATCATTTTGTCTTGATGTTGCAGCAGTGCATGGTGATGTTGATGCATCATGTCCTGGTGTAATATCTCATAATTTGACTCAATTTGATGCCACATTGTCTGAAATAAATGAATGAGATTTCAGAGGCACTCTGTCATGATATGTGGTCCTCTCTGGTGGAAAAGGAGCTTGTAAAGTCTACCTTTTGTTGCAAATGCCTAATGATTCATAAAAGCCAGAGGGTTTTTTTAGTTAAAACTTCATTAGAGGGCAAGTAAGTGTGCAAACAGGCCAGAAAAATGATGAAAACTTTTTTCAAAATTCTTTTTGTATTTGTGGTCATTACCTCTCACACAAACATACATCCAGTTTTTAATCCATGGAAGACATTAACAAGCACCTAGACAGCTCAGCTTCTGCAGCTCAGCAGATTTATGTAAGGAGGGACTTGGGTGTATTAATAACTTAGCCTCAGAGGAATAATTTGCACCACAAAGGGAATCAAACAACTAAAGCTTTGAAAATTATGCAAGTCATCTACTTCCAGTCTCTTGGTCTCAGAGTTGTTTGACACTTTTTAATTTGGGCAAGTAGCATGCAGGCTATCAGATCTGCCTTAGCTTAGTTTGTTTTGCATTTGTTTGGGTTTGATTGTGATGTCTTTGAAAAGGCTTAAAACTCAGTCCCAGCTGGTCAGGATAGAGGCATAGAAGGAAAAAGGGATTTTCCTGGCTAAGTTAAAAAAAACAAAACAAAACAAAACAAAACAAAACAAAACAAAACAAAAAAAAAAAAAAAAAAAAAAAAAAAAAAAAAAAAAAAAAAAAAAACAGACTGTTTCCCACAGGCAAACAGCAGGAGCTGCCCACAGGAGCCCGACTGCAGGCAGGCAGAAGGACCTGCCTACAGGACCCAATATGCAGGCAAGCCGAAGGAGCAGCCCACAAGACCCACCTACAGGACCTGTTTGCAGGCAAGAACCTGTCTGTTGGGAAGGACCAGAAGTCAGAATAGCAGCAATGGAAGCAATGGGGCATTCTCTGCTCATTAGCTTTTGATTGCAATTTACTATCCCTGGCTTCTGATCCACTTATAAAGTGCCTATTCAAATCAAATAAGCACTTTGCAAGCTGCCTTTTTCTTGGCAATGGGGAGAAATTTGGGGAAAATGTCTTTTCCATCTCTCTGCAGTTAGCTTCTGGTTTCTTGTCTACAATACTGCTTCCTTTTTCCCTTCTGACTCCTGCTGCAAAGAAGTGATATGTGCACTGGACCTGCTTTTCCAGATGAATCTTAGATTTTCCCACTCTTCTCCCTTCCATGTGCTGACAGTCCTATTGCTCTTTTCTGTCACTGACTGCCCTTAACTTCTTCAAATTTGGTGCATCATTCTAATGAAGTTTCAGACACTTTTTTTTACAGGCTTTTCTGTAAATAAGATCTGTTTCTATGGAGTCCAGCAAGACTGAAAACTATCTTTGGTACACCTCTGCTGACTCAGTATTTCTGCATATAATCTATACCATGCTATAGAGCTCCTAACCCAGCTTCTTTGCTCAGGTGCTCCTCAGTGGTGAGGAGAGAATAATTGCTAGCAAAGAGATCTTTGAATGTCTGTGGTTAGATGCCATAGGCAGTTACATTTAGTCACCTAACATGTTTTAAATATTAGAAAATATTTTGGATTGAAGTTTTGTGTTGTTCCAGCCTTAGTCAAATGGTCTGGGATAAGTTAGGTCAGGTTTCTTCTCTACTGACAAGAGAATGCCTGAAAGACTGGATAGTGGCTTTGTGAACTTTTCCTTTAGCCACAGTATCCTAAGGGATATTAAGGGTACCTTATTTGTAGTTTATTAAGAATAACAATTTATTGTGATGTTATATCATAAACATTTAATCCATTGCTGAGCTCTGGCTTAACAGATCAGTCACTCACCCTAACTGTAGCTTGCAACTATTGTATTCAGAATGACCTGTGTATTTTTCTTCGCATTTTTTCTTTTCAGGACAACCGAACAATTTTTTTATTACTAATACAGTTTTCCTTTATTCATTTACTTAATTGGTGAATGATTGTCTAAAATATTTTCAAAATTTTTCCATGGTTTGGGTTTCTGAGCTTTGCTAATCTTAAAGATTAAAAAACAACATTAATATATTAAAAATCATTTTATCACCTTAAAAACCCTTTTCTGGCAAATAAAGTATTACTGAAACAATCTGCCTAACTCTCTTTCTAGTTATCCCCAATGAATACTTCTCAGGTCTCTATTCCTATTATATTACACCCATATTCTCTCTGCTAAAATGAAGATAAATAGATCTCATCTAGTCAAGTCTATTCACTGATTTCTTATGAAGACTTGTATGTCTTGCACTGCTAAGCCCAGGTGATTAAAGACTGGCCAAAGAGTCGATTTCTTCTTCTGGACTGCACTAGTGCAGACTGCATGACTTACAGGCCTACAGTGATCTTTTCATTATTTTACACCTCATATGCACAAAATAATGTGATCACACAGACTACAGCAACAGTGAAGTAAGTCTCCACATGGGTGCATCTGCATGCAAGTATGTATTTGCTTTGTGCTCCTCTCAAAGGGTCTACTGGGTAGCTCAACATATGGATATACTATGAAGATGTTGTGTTTATTCACTGTAAGCTACTTGTTATTCACACCTGCTTTAAACTTTATAACAGATATATAAGAGTGCTAGGCCCACATTTCTTTAACACCTAGGTGCTAAGCAACAGACTTACAGTGGCTACTCACAAAAACACACTTGAATACTGCTTTCATCAATGCTCCTCAGCACCAAGGAATATACCACAATTTGTTCATGGAACTGCCAGTCATTGATCCTAAATATTAGACACAGAGGAAAAGAAGGGAGCTGAAGTCTAAGACCAGGGACGTCTTCTGCTTTTAAAATGTCCTAATCAGGGCCTTAACTGCTGATGATTTTAGGTCAGTCAGACACCCTAGCAGCCTACCCACCTCCCAAAATAACCCTGATTCTGGAAGTCATCCTTAACCCTATTCAATGCCTTATTGTTTGTATATTACAGTTCCCCAGTAAATTGTTTTACTTCAGAACACAAATAAGTCATCTAAGTCCTTTAGAAGATGTTTCAGTTGTTGTTTTGCTCATTTTGCTCTAATTTTCCACAATAAATAGAAAGTTTGGACTTCCATGGGCGTGTCTAGGAGTCTGAGTTAGGACTTTTCAGCAGCAGCAAAGCTAGTGCTGTTGGCCTGTGGGTTCACGTTGTTCATGTCTAGTATGTATGCTTAGCCCTTGCTCCATGGTAAGAAATAACCAAATATTATATCACTAAAAGTACAGTTCTTAACATAGGAAAGGCTGAGGACTAATGTCCTGGTGGCCCTAGCCAAACTCGCCCTTCCCTGTGGAAGGTGACTCTCATAGCATTTCACATGCCAGCAGCAAGGCACCTGTTCAGCTTATCTGGAAGATGGAATAGGGACACACTTCTGGTGGTCACTAGGCAGAAGTGCTGACTGTCTCCATAAGGAGAGATTTCTCTCTTTCTCCAAGGATTTTGGAACCCCTCCCATAGCACCACCACATAGCAGCCCTGGCACTCTCTGTGTCTTTTGCCCTGCTCAGCAGCCAGGAAGACTGAGCTCCTGGCACTTTAGCCCTGCTCCTCTGTATTCACCCTAAAGAACCATCAATCACATGGAAAGTCCAATTTTACACATCTTTAAATCAAAGGCATTCAATTTTTTTTCTACTGGTATTTCAAAGCAGAATACAGTAACCCCAGAACAACTGCCATGGAGGCAGCACTTTCATACATAGTGTAGGATACAGCAGAGTGTGCTGAGAGAGGTATAACTACTCAGCTATGGACCATTTCCACACCGGTTCTGTGTAAACACGGGGTAATTCTCTATATAGCATCTAGATTTCGCTCAGGATGAAATTGGAAGAGCCTATAATCATTCTAGCAGGACTGAAATTTCTGTTACTTCATTATAGAACAAATAAATATAGTTTAGGATAATTAACATATATTAATGCAAAAATGCACAACCCAAAACTATCCTGGATCCTTATCAGCAAATGGTCCTCAATTACATAACACAAAATCTGACCCAACAACAAAAAACCCTGATTAAAAAAATCTCCATTTAGAATTCTGTGCACATCAATCCCCTCAGGCTAAAATGATGCAGTTGTACTGTACTTCACAATGAGGCTGAGCTGCTGACGAATTTACCTTGCATGACTCATTGGTGAATCATGGACAAAATCGTGTATTAGAGATGCCGCCCACACAGAGCAATGTGTTGAGTTATTCCCATCCTATTGCACCCAGCTCCAAGGAAAACATTTGTTCACATTTGGCATTGCAGTTATTCTGTTGACACATTTACTTGGGTTATTTCTGAATGTTTCTAATGGGGAAGCTTTTCAGTTTGTTAATACTGAGGTATAATTAACAGTCAGGAAGATCAGGTCAAATCTAATCCACATGAGAAATTCCCCATCTGTAGCATGGGGGAGGGGAGAAGATATTATTATATGATACAATTAATTAAAAAATAATTATAATGAGATAAAATTACAGCATCATTATCAACAAGAAAGAAGTAGCAAATAGGAAATCAGAATTCATGAGCTAAAGCATAAATCCAGATACTGAAAGAGCATTATCATAAAAACATCCACAAGTCTCTGATTCCATTGAGAACTAAGTCTGTCTCAGAATCAGTAAATTTGTAAAAATGTGAAGGATTCAAACTCTTTAAAATAATCCCTTTCACTAAAGCTCAGCCTTGCTCATTTGTTAAAGTAGCCAGCATTCATTTTCACTCTGCTGCAAAATTCCTGAGCACCAGAGGACAGCAGAGACAAAGCCTTGGGAAAAGCTACAGTTACTCTGTAGCTCCAGATGGCAGCTTTCCCTGAACGGTATCAGGAAGTAGGGAGAAGCAAAGAAATTAGTACCTTCTTAGGCTATAATTTTCCTAAATTCAGATCTTATTCCACTTCCCCTCCCCCCACACCCATATAAACAATCCATACTACAGATCAAAGAATCACTTCGGGTTTGTAGCATTCAGGTAATGATACCTTCTGTGGCAGTTGTATAACTTCTGCTACTGTAGTTATATTCAGTAAGTCTCATATTCTTGCAAGCTACTTGCTTAACTAGAAGAAAACCTTTCCTCTGCTTAACAGCCACTTTGTCCTTTTCCTTTTTTTATAAAAATCTTGATGGACTTTTAAGGGGCTTTATGTGCTCTGTGAGAGCCAACAGGAGGAGCATTTAGATTTTTAATATTTATTGGTTTATCTACATGAACTTAAAAGTCTTCAGCCATTAAAAGGTAAAGGAAATATATAACTACATGAAAGCAGGCTATAGTTTTGAGAGGGTCCCAACAGGTTAGTTTCTATCTGAATCTTTGTTGTATTTTATTAAAAATGAGCAGGGCAACATCCATGTACAGTCAAATTCAAAAATATAAGGGTCCACGTGGAAAGTAGTAATACTAGAGGAAAAAATAACTGCATAAATGATGTGAAAGAGAAATATTAGGCAGGAGCCATATTGGACCAAACACAGTCCTAATAATGTTACAAATACATGTACTGACTGAAAGAAAGAAAAACATGGTCATCAGCTTATCATTACAAATTACTATTTCACAGGAACAAGATGTATATGTATAGCTTCACACTGGGTAGAAAAAGGAAGAAAAAGTTAGATGGTGATTCTTACTTTTGAATATGTGAGAAGTGCATCACCAGTTCCTGCAGAGGTCTAGGAGGTGAAATAGCTCACATGAAACTGGTTAGCTAAGTACGTGCTGAACATCCTGTTGAATCAGAGAGAACAGAGATAGATAAAAGAAGGACCTTTTTATTGAAAGACAGTATGTCTGGCATCTGATTGTTCTCTTAGTTTTCCACATATTTAAGTTCCAGATGAGAACAACTTCACAGATGGTGAAAGTTTGCTTCAGTTAACATAAGTAGAAAGAGCTTTCATCTACTTGTAAAAAAACATTATAGAAACATTTAAATAAATGCATCATCATGCAACCCCTGCATACTTAGGACAGTCATGTCTCAATTCTTGCAAATGCTTCTATGTGCAGTAGTGCTATATTCCAGAGGTGCATCCACAAACTAAATAGTAAGAACTTGCTCAGCGCACACTGACCTAAAATCCACTCTTAGTCTATTATTAACTGAATAATTGCTTTAGAATGAACATTTAATATATCATGTTACATTCCAAATACAAAGGATCACCTTCTTTTAAGCGCTAACTTCAGTGATTATATAGTTTGGTTCTTCCACCTCTCTGCAGCGGACCACGAAATTAAGAGTAAACAAAATATTACCTTTTCTGATTGTTAGGTTTGCACTTATACTGAGGACTTGTGTGTGTTCCTGGAGCTCAGCGTAGTTCTTCAGTGAGTCTGAATTGCAGTGGTAACAGTGAGATCAAGCCTAACAGAGGCACTGCATGAGCAATCTGGAACTTCACTATAGAACAAGCTACAACCATGTACATGGATATTTCAATCCAAGGCCTCAATGCAGCTGTGAGCTCTACTAGCTCCTACATCCATGTGAAGTTCACTGTGGGATCATACCTTGTGCCAAATCCAGTGATAAGCATAAAAGGAGACACTGGCTTCATTGTCCAGCAAACTGACAACTCATCTTTTCCCCTGTTATTCCCTCTCAGTCTCAGCCTTATGAACTTCTCTTTGTTTAAAACCAAAACTTATATGTTTTCTCTCTGCTTCTGTTTATTATATAGAAGTACATGCCAAAAAGCTATTGCCAGGTAAAAGTGTTTCTGTCCATAATGGAGAAAAGGAGAAATATTCTCCACATCTCATCTTTTGTTCACCACTCAAGAATTTCACTCTGAAGCTAAGAGTTGAGGCCAAAGCATGGCTTTTTCAGTTTTCAACATAGTAAACAGCAGTTTTCCTGCAAAAAAGATAATCTGAGAACAAAGCATTTTACACCCAGCTGCGGTCAGCTGGTTTTATCTAAAGATCAAGAAATCAGAAAAATTTTGAACAGTTTCCTGTTGACATTTCAAAAAATAGTTTAATTTGCCTTTCACAAAGAAATGAACACAAATATATCCTTTCCTCTAGGCAATGCTGGGACGAGGGAATGGAGAGTCCTCAAGAAAGAAGGAAGAAGAGGAAGTTCAGAGCAGGCACAGAATGATCCCTATTGGAAGAAAGATTTATGAGTTTTACAACGCTCCCATCGTTAAATTTTGGTTTTACACGGTAAGAAGTCTTTCCTGTTCTATTACTTATATTTGTACAGCTACTGGAATTGGGATTCATCTTTTGTGTTTCTTCAAAGTCTACATCTGCATGTATTAGAGGGCTTGCCCATAAATAGTTTGATAAAAATATTTGGTGAAATTCTGCTAGCACTTACAAACCTTTCTAAGACTTTTGAAGGCTACCAGTTCAATCAGGAAGTTAATGGCTAAAGTTTGAATGACTGTGTATATCTTTCTTTAAATAAAACAATAAATGGCAGTTTGCTTCAGTCAGTGCTCCCAAGGAATTCCCTATAGGAGAATTCACAATAGGATTGCTCCCAGTAGTAAGCCCAGGGGGAGGCTGGGCTGATTCAGAATATTGAATTATATAATAAGTTCTGGGGGAAAAAAAAACAAGATGGAGATAGAGCACATCTTTCCTTGGAACATTTTTCTACTCTTTCTGTTTTGACTAGTCTGCAAAGTGTGTCTCAGAGAAAATGTGTGCGTAAGTACCCACAAGATATCAAAGATATGAGCAACAGCTTATGTACATTTTTCAGGAAAAATTATGTCAAATCAGTATGATCTCCTTGTAAACAGACCTTACAGATGGAGCAGAAAAAAAAGTCATGTATTTTGACTACAGTAAAAGAGTACCAAAAGCTTCACAGGGTTTTCTCACAGCTAAATTAATAACTGCTATATTAAAGTTATGATGTGGATAAAAATCTTTTTGATGATTAGTCCTCAAATGTAGATAATAATTATTCATTATCAAGCTGGAAGCAGAGATCAGAAAATTATTCCATTGGGTTCTCTCCTACATCAGATGCTGATATTTTCATTCAAAACTTGGATGATGCAAACTTGAAGTTTGCAAATTGCATTAGAATGTGAAAAAATGAGACCAAAAAGTAAAAAGATCACAGAAAGTAATCCTTTCAGTCTTCTTGGCTGGAATATTCTATCCCAGTTCAGCTACAGCATCATGTGACAAGTATGGAGGGGTTTGAAGGAGGCAAAAAAAGAGCAAGAAAAATATTTCAAGAGGTCTATAATGCATGACTTAAGAGAAAAGATTTAAGGAAGTGAGATTGTTTTCTCTGAAAAAAAAAAGAAGTCTGCAGAAGGAATATAATAGTTTTCAAATATGCATAAGTAGCTCCAAATCCTTTCTGAATAAGACAAGAAATAACGGCTTAAATTGCAACAAGGTAGTTCTAGATAAGAAGTTCGGAAACACTTTCTAACTGCTCCGAGAAGTACGGTCATTAACCGTGTGAGGACATGGTAGATTTACCATTACTAGTGATTTCTAACCTATCTTATCAAAACATATGTCCATTATGGTACACTGGAATTAGTCCTGCCTCAGCCCAATGGAATTGGCCAGATGACTTCAGGTGGTCCTTCCCATTTATATTTTCCATTATTCTGCTGAAAGCACAACAAATCACAAAGAATGGATCCTTCTGTAGATGACTTTCTTATAAGAAAAATTGCCTTGCTGAGATCCAGGCAATACATCTACACACATTGGGAACAACTCACATCAATTAGGTCTGAACTGTAGTGGACACTCTACTTGCTGAACTCTGTGGCCATTGAATGTTAATCAGGCCAATAAGTCTAGAAACTGCTCATCAGAATCCTTGTCTCAGTATGAATTCCAGTGTGTATTAGGCACAACCAGAAAAGTCTTTATACTGCAAATGGAAAGAAGCATCCTGGCTTTCCCTGTTCAATTTTTAAATGGGAGATAGAGATCAATAGTGCATTTTCATTTAGATTTGTTCTTACAGTTTTATGTCCCGAGGCAAATCTCAATTGAGGTCATTTATTAAAACTGGATCTTAAAAAGGAAGTTAAGGTGGATTCTGGCTACAATGCTTACCAGCTGGTTATATGGGGAAACTCCTGGAGACTAAAAGCAAAACAACTTTCAGAGAAGGGTTAAAATTGCACAGCCTACCATACTTTTACAAGCACACAGGCACAAATATTAATCATAGATTTCAAAAGAAATGCTCCCAATTTCCAAAGTAAAGGGTCCAAAGTAAAAGGAAAAATAAAGTAAAAGAACTATACCTATGGCTATTGTATACCATTTAAAATAATTTGATAATTTTGCATCTACCTATCTCTGTTACTATATCATCATCATCACCCTCATCATCATCATGGCTAGGCTTCACGAACAAAGATTTGGGAAGGACTCTACCCACATTTGCTACAAGCGCGTTGGTGGCTAAAGAGGCCAATCCAAGATAGACAAATCTGGTTGCAAAAGGCACAGCAGAAAGACTCCTTGGATGGTATTGGCAAGACACGATTCTTTCTGCGTTGTCTTTTCCCCTCAAGAGTGATCGTGCGTGCGTTCTCAAAGGAAGCAGCAGCGTTATAGATGGTGTGTCTCCAGGCCTCCAGAATGGAGGCCAGAGTAGAACAGTGATGAAGATCAATATGGTCAAGGCTGAGATATTGTTTCAGAGTCCTTATATCTCCTCTTCAGGGCTCCTCTCTTGCGGCAGCCAGTGGCAAGTTCACCATCTCTTAATCTTTGTTTGACTGCAATTAGAAGATGCCCGTTGGCCACGGTTAACCAACCGGGTGAAGGGTAGAGATGAGCTTTGGTTAGGCCATCTTTTCTAGGCCCCTCTCCGAGTGGAGCAAGCAGTGCTCTCCTTGAAAAAGGCTCCTTGGTCATTCAGGATGCTGCCGAACGAGACTGTCATCTCCGGGGTAGTCTCAGGCGACCAATGTCCTGAACCGCCTGCATGCAGGGTTGGGTCTGCGGCTTCCAGTGCACCTTATCACTTGCCATTTTGATCGTCACCTGTCGCTACAGGGCTTTACAAATGTGGGTATAACCTTCGAGCCTTCACAATGGATTTTTTAGGTGAGACGCAGCATGTGCAGAACTGGACCCACCCTTGAATCCTAAGGTTCATTTGCCAGGGCTGAGCGAGCTTAGACACTGACAGCGAGATCCTCAGGACATAGGTTTAATTAGAGTATCCTTCTCTTAGATGGATGGCCTTACAGGGCTAAGTGAGCTCCAGTTGCCCTTTCTCCTAGGATGACTGCTGGAAGGCTAGTGAGCCCATCCTGCCCATGGACACATTTTATCTGACCCTTCAGTTTATCTGGCCCTTTCAGTTTTTTCTGACCCTGTCTGCCATCGGAGACCCTGCCTGCATGTACCTTCGCCAGCATAGCTCGCAACTGCATAGGGGCACGCAGGCTTCTTCCCCACTAAAATGGTTAGGGCAAGCCTTTCACTCCCTACTTTTCTGCCAGCCACCTATACTCAAGCCCAGGGATATTCCCAGGGACATTCTCTTGCCCTGACCACCTTTTCAGGACGCTATAATTCCATGTTACTATATATATATTACTATACAGCTATATCTACCTTCATTCTCAAAATACACGAGTGAGTTAAATGGGATATTTGAGTAAGTATCATTTTGGCTCAACAGATGCTAAACAACTTTTTCTCAAAAAAACCCACAAAATAAAACAAAACCAAACACAAAAAGAACGCAACTTCAGCCTTTCTCTCTGGACATGCAGCAATTTCAAAAGTCAGCTACTCTGTTCTGTTTCATGGCTGTTGCACTGGAAACCGTGACACAAATGTTTCATTTCACAGATTGCTTGGTGAGGAGAGGAAGGCCTTACCCTTTTAATTACCCCTACTACTAACATTAACTGAAATGCTAGCAGGAAGTAAGGCCACATTTCTGCCTCTTCTGAGGAGGAAAACTGCAGAGGGAATTGAGCCCTGAGTAAGAGTCATCTTCTAAACATCAGAAGAACTTTGCCCTAAGTTTTGCATTTTGAGACCAATTCAGTGTATGATCATTTATTTATTGAAATGAGGTAGAAAAGAGAAGGATGATCTCCCTCTTGAAGCACTAATCTGTTAGTACAGTTTCCAGGTTTGTCCCTTACCATAATGAGTATTCAAGTATTTTCTATAGGATGGGACTGCATCCACAGAAGGGCAGGGAGCAACCCTAGAAACTTCTTAGCGGGCATTCCTTTCCTTAGTTTCTTCAGGTACTGCCCTCAAGGGTGACAATGGCAGTTCCTAGTCTTTATCAAGCCATGTAAAAGCAAAACAAAAGAGGGTTCAGTTACTTGTGTTATAGCACTTTAAAAGAATCTTGAGTACCAGGATGGGCAACTGCTCTGAGGTTTGACCACAGTCTGGGATAAAGATAGCCTCCTGAAAGGCAATAGCAAGTTACAGGTCTGGGTAGGGAGAAGGAGTGTGTCACTCACTATCTGAAGGCTTTGTTTCTTATTTAAAGTGGAGAAGTTTCAGAATCATTCTATTCACAAATCAAGATCTTGTTTTTCTTTTGCCAAGCAAAAACTTTTTGCAATTTTGAGTGTTTGATTTGACATTAAAAAAAAAAACAAACCCAAAGCCAAACAATGCCAATATCTCAAAAGAAAACCAAGAAGAAACAAAACCCCCTAGTTACTCTGTCACCTTTGTAACCTTAACATCCCTATTCTTTTGCCACTGCTAATGCTCACCAAAGGCTGCTGAATCAAACCAAATTAGATTTTCTGATAATTAGTAATCAATAAGGTCTAAAAGGAGGCATATTAGGTAACAGCATCACCTGGCTTTTTGTGCTATATTAGAAGGTGTTATTTCAGCTAGGGAGGCATGTGTTCAGTTCTACCTGCCCAGACAGAGTTTCTGCTGACTCAGATGTCACTCTAGATGCTAAGTCAACATTGCTCTCCATTTCTTTTAGGAGTGTTAGGGGAAGAGTATTGCAACTCAACATCTCTCACAAACTAAAAGTCAAGTGAGATCATTTCCCCCACCGTTTTATGTAGACAAGAAGTAATGCTCCAGCTGTCTGGCTTCTCTATACTGATAGTTATGGCCAATAGAAAGAATTCTCTTGAGTGTCCTCAACCAGTCACTGGAACACAAGCCAGAATCCTTTTACAGAGAACAGAAGTAATATTCTTTAGCTGATACAGTAGGACTATAAATTCCATTCTGTGATGTGCTGAACACTGAAATAATCCTATCCCAAAGTCTCAAGGCCCTCTATGGTTGTTTCATTTTACATCTGACCCCAAGTATACAATAAATGTGAGTAACACACAGTTCAGAGAGAAGAACTGAATTAAAATACAGATGTATGGAATACAGATTTCTGCCACAGTGACTAAATATTCATGCACAGAACTGAGTCATCTTTTCTCTGATTTAAATTTGGCTTCAGATACATTTTCTTGTAGGGCTGCTGTTTGAAAGACAATGTAGACAGGTAGATGGATTCTGGCCACCACAGATCCCAGCCACACTCATGCTACAACCCGTGCTCTAGTGTGACAGTCAGATTTCTCTGAGTTTGATGAAGCTGGTGTTTTCATTTGCCTGTCTTCTCTTTTTTTGACTGACCATTTAATTACATTCAGCCCATCAAAAGAAAGAAGAAAGAAATTAAAACTTAATTTACACTTCCCATTGAATCAAAAATTAGGCTAGAAGGTGGATATATTAGAGGAGGAAAAACAAAGCATTTACACTTTAAAACTTGCAAAAAATACAAGGTAAATGAATGCATGGCTATGCCTGGGTGTTCTGGAGAGGAAACATTGTACAAGTTAGGTCAGTACTACACCAGCATGGAAAACCTCTAAACCTTAGGCAAAAAGGATTTGGAATTCCAGAGTCAGCCTAGACTAGGTGAACAGAGGGAAAAAACACAGAGGAGGGGTGTTAGAGGAGTAAAGGCTGTTAGAGACAGATGAGGAAGAAGTCTTCACATAAGTAACTTAATTTGGTAGTTGACATAGTGTTATTAGAATTTCCATCAAACTGTGGATGATCCAGGGGAACTGCATTAATACAGTTTTGTTGAGGAAACAGATGTAGTTGGATGAGAGGACATTTGTGCATGTATATTGGAGATCCTACACTGTGTGTGATTTAATGTGAGCTTTTTGAGACAACCCAAAACACTGTCTTATCTTTTGTCTGTTTAAGTCTGGTTATAGTAAAATCAGGAATATCAAATGAAGAAACTGGCTCAGTTGTATAAATATAGTGACTACTGATGTTCTTTTTGTTTCTTTACAGCTGGCATACATAGGCTACTTGATGTTGTTCAATTATATAGTGTTAGTGAAGATGGATCGCTGGCCATCTATACAGGAATGGATTGTCATCTCATATATTTTTACTCTGGGAATAGAGAAGATGAGAGAGGTAAAATCATCCCAACTAAGAGAGAATAAAAAAGGAAAAAGCATGGGGTTTGGTTTGTTGTTTGTTTTTCTTCTTAATTTTAGTACCTGGTTTTATTATTTTTCTCAGAATATTTTTTTATGAATGAGCTTATCATACAATTGTCCTTTTTTTTCTTAGAAAGGCAGATGGATTGTTAAAAAAACAGCAGTAAAAAAATTATCTTCAGCCATTTTAAAATGAACAATTGCTTTCTTTTTTTTTCCTCTCCTTCCTTCCTTTCTTCCTTCTTTCCTTCCTTCCTTCTTTCCTTCCTTCCTTTTTCTCCCACAGAATTTCCATGTTCATATTTCAGTGTGATGCATATTTAATAGCAGTCACAAGTACAGGGTGGTCTTCTGAAAAATCTTAAAGGTCAGCTAAATTCCTTGAAACGTGACTCAGAAACTGATGTATGTTTCAGGGAGAGGAAAAGTGGCTATGGTTAAACAGAATGGACACAGAGACATGGTGATAGCATGACAACTGAAAAGCCTGTGTTCAAATACCTACCTCACCACATAGAATGAAATAGAATAGAATGAAATAGATGTCATTCAAAATTTCAGGTGTTCTGTCTAGTCAAGTGTCTTATACAAGGGCTTTAAATAAAATGACCCATAGCTGGGAGAAAAGTTAGGCCTGGGAGAAAAGCTAGGTCCACACTGAATACTGCAGCACATTTCTAATAGTATTTTTCTCTTTTAATATTGAAAATTTTTTGCTAATTACTTCAAGCAATAACACACATCTTCCTAAAGATGTGAATGCAGACACATAGAGACAGAGCATTTAAGGTGGAACCTTACAGACAGAGTGAAGTGGCTCTGCTGTCCCTGCCCCTTGTGGTCTCTCCCTCTTGCAGCTGATGCTGTACCCTTTCACTTGGCCAAATGTGCATTTATGCCACAGTGACACCAGTGGCCCAGTTCAGCCCTAATGGGAGTGGGTGCAAGTCCCATTGACATCAGCTGAAACAGCACATTTGTACCCTTGGGCTGAATCCGTTACCAGCTATGTTCATATTTTCTGAAGTAAATGCTTTTGAGCACTAGACTAAAAATGGACTTGCAACAGCCACTTAGGCTTCAAAGATGGATGAACTGTAAACTCTATAAAGAAAAAGAACAGAGAAAAGATACTGCTTGAGAGGTCTATGAATATACCTCACTAAGCAAAAGAAAAAGGAAAACAGGCAATAGCCACACAAGGACTCAGCAACACTGATGGAGAAAATCCACCACTGGCTCAGTAGGTGGAAGGCTGCAGATAAGAACTGTGTGTGCCATGTTTTCATCTAATCATTCACCCCAAATCGTCCTTTCTACAAAAGTTTTTCAAGAACTTTTGTCACAATGGATTTCGAAGTAGATGTTGGAGGTTCACAGATGAGCCTAAAATTCATTCTGAAAATTAATTATACGAAAATTATAAGGTGGCATTCATAGTTTTTAAGGAACTGTATGAGTTTGCTCAAATGTTCTTTGGCTAAATATAGAAAATTAAAACCAACAGCTTGTTAACTCACTAAAAGCTAGGACTTATTGATAGACATCACTTAAGGAATAGCTTTACGAGGAATTCAGGAAAACAATCAAGTTTCACTAATGATCTTGCAAATAGAATGACGATAAGTTCATAAGGTAAGATTAATTATTTTTGTGAACTATATTGCTGGCTGTGGAACTTTATTTCCAAAAACAGGTCCAAGTAATAGCTAGTATCTCTGTAAATTAAATTTACAACGCAGATCTTTATGGTTATTATTGGCCATTTGATATACATTTTAGAATAATTTTCTTTAAACCTACAGCTTCTTTAAATGTGAATTTTTCTGATGAAATATCCTTCTATATTTCTCCCTCTATTCCAAGACTCTAAGTAGGGTTAATAAATTTGAAAAAGAGAAATATATACATATATTTCTTCCAATTTCATGAGGGTTTTAGGCCAAGCAAACACTTTGTCCTTTGAAGTATCTTGCACATAGATACATGCTAGCAGTGGTTGAAATGGAAGATTTTTGAAAAAGAAATCAGGGAGTACATGAGATATTGGCCTGTGCGGCACATCTATCTGTTTACTACAATTTCTCCAAGCTTAAATTCAAACAGCTCATCTCCTTTCTTCTCCATTTCCTCTGTCCTTCAGATATTGATGTCTGAGCCTGGGAAACTGTTACAAAAAGTAAAAGTTTGGCTCCAAGAGTACTGGAATGTTACTGACCTTATAGCTATCCTCCTGTTCTCTGTTGGGATGGTGCTCCGTCTGCAAGATCTGCCACTCCGGAGCGATGGACGAGTGATATACTGTGTTAACATCATTTACTGGTATATACGGTTATTAGACATCTTCGGAGTAAACAAGTATTTGGGACCATATGTTATGATGATTGGGAAAATGGTAAGAGAAGTTGGTGTACTTCTGTGTTTTACCAGCGTGTTCTTGATTCAATGTCTGTGGCCAATGACATTGCTGCAGTTTTGCCTGTATTTTTTTTAAACATTAGTATTTTCATGTAAGATAATGCTGCCTTAAACCAAAACCTCAGCACAGACCCCCAGAATTGAGTATTAGACTCTTTCTGTCCTGATAAGTGATGTACTGTTTGTCTTTCTCTGAGATCTCTCTTCAGCAACAGAGCCATCCATCCTACACCTCTGTGCCTCATTTGCAGAAAGTGCAGAGGGAAAATGGTAGTTGTAAAGGAAAGTGGTTTGTTAAGGTTGGAAAAAGAAAGTGTTCAGCTGTTTAGTACCTTGAGACTCTCAAAGACAATGTGTTGTAATTTTTGTGGTGTCTTCAAAACCGTAATGGTTATGACTAAGACCAACCTTTCTATAGTTTGCTCCATACCCATATGCTCTTCCATCTTTCAAGTTCAGGTGTGTCCTTGAGAGATGATAAATCCATTTGCATAAGTGCAGCCTCTGACTCCTGGCCACATCACATGTTTACACCATGGCAGCAGTATGAATAGCTTATGTAATAGTGATTGCATACAGGAGGAACCAAGACATATTTTACAGAATCACAGACTTACAGAAGCTTCTGAGTTGGATGGGACCCGCAAGGATCAATCATCAAGTCCAACTCTTAAGTGAATGGCTCATATGGAGATCAAACACACAACCTTGATGTTATTTGCACCACATTCTAACCGAGTTTTCCTGCCACATGCATAACTTTTGACTTTTTGGCTTTTTATGTTTCAATAATGTTGCATTAAAGCAGCATTTTGGTCATTTGAATTAAAGAAAATGGGTGAATTTACAGACTCACGTGCACGTATCCCTGATATTTGAATACCTGCACATGTAGCTAATATGTGTTCATGTTTTATATGCAGTTATCCAGCTTTTGTTTGTGTAAATGATGTTTGTTTCATGCATTTTGGGGTTTAAGATTAATTTTTAAATAAAATAAAAGCCCCTTGAAGCTGGTATTTGGTTAAAAAAGTAAACAGAATATTAGGTCTTCTAAATGGAAATACTACTGCTGTCTGAGTGGTATGTGGGCAATAATCAGAAAGTCCAAACAGGCTGTCTGTTTTGTCTTACAATGGTCCTCAAAGAAAAGATTCATCCATCCTCACCATCGTAGGAAAAAGGTGCATATATGAGTGCATGGACTACAGTCTTTCCTTGGTCTTACATTAGTCAAAACAAGCTCAGTGAGCAGATCTAAAACTGAAACACAAAGTACATGTCCAGTTACACTCCCTACTCAACAGGTGACCGGAGAATAATTGTCTTATGCCCTCAATTTACCAGCTTTCAACTGCAAACCCACCATAGTGGGTCTGACAAAGAAAGAACAGCTTACTGAAAAAAAAAATAAAGAGAGAGATAGGGGCAAAACAGAAAATACAAAAGAAAGTGACTGTTGAATTGTTATGTCCTCTAAACAGGATTTTGAAATGTCCTTCCTTCAAGGAAACAATAGGATGTTGACCTGAGGTTTTGCAGAGCTCCAGAATACAGAGGTATTCTGTATTTTTGTTGGAGATAATTGTGAAATTTTTTTTGAGATAATTTTTGTTGGAGATAATTGTGAAAGGACAGAAGCACCCAAGAAAGGAACAAAAATCAAAAGGAAATTACTGTCTTATCGTGTTTCTTCCCTGCCCCATTTAGACTATGTCTCTCCATCAGTACAAAATACACGGTGTATGAAACTTCTAAAAAAAAACAACTACCTTTACACTCTGTTTCAGTTTTCACAGCTACATGCACTAAAAGTTTAAGAGCTGTGGTGCTAACACAGGCAATGTGAGCATCGGTTTAATAATAGAGAGTGGCCATGAATAACGAACTTCTAGTAGTCAGTGTTATAATGGCTTCTAGGAGCCCACCTCCACCAGAAGTATAAAAAGTGGTTTATTTTTCTCCTGGAGTCAACACAGAAAGGAAGTGATTGAAATAAATGGAATTTTCATTCCTTTGTCATTCTTACATATGACAACAAATCAAACCTCACTCCACTTTCTATGGGAAACAAATGCAGGAAAATCACTGGCCTCTGTAGGCTCAGCACACACTTAAAGGGTGTTGAATTTAACTGTCAACATATTCTGAAGGTGTGGGCAACTGTTAAAGGAGGGAAATTCTTCTATTTTTTGCCTTCCTGTTACTTGATTTTCACACTTCATCCAACTTTCCATGCACTCAGCAACTTTGACACATCCCCTTTGCCCATACATGTAATGCCCAACTGGCTACACAAATTAGCCTCTCACATCTATTTTCTGACCCACTTATTCTCTTGTGCAATGTCCAACTCATGCACAGACTTCCATGGGAGTTGCACTTGCTGAATCCAGGCTGCACTGGGCTCCCTTGTGTAGTTTTGTCTAAATCACGTCTGTTTACTTCCTTGGGTTCTGTCTTCTGAATGATCTTTCAAGTTCCACTCAGTACTATGAAGAACATCAAGGTGACTTGTACATATTTCTACAGAGTAAGCCCATTACAGTACTGAGGTCCTCAACAGACCATATTTAACACCTGAACTTTTTTCTAGAGCTTCTCTTGTATGTTTTAGACTCCAAAGGAAAAGGATGGCTCTTTCTATCTTTCCAATGTTAAGGAACTTTCTCTTCATCAGCCTCTACATTGCAGATGACAAAATAGCTGTAAAAAGTTTTACATCTGGGCGCTGTGAACAAATATGCAAGTGAGGTTAAGCAAGGGGCAGGAATAGGCCTTGAGGGGTTTTAAAGCAATAGATTAAAGCAAAGTTGAAGATACGAGGAGGAAACTGAATGACCAAGTTTATTATTATCTGCTAATTTCAGTAACAGAATATGTTTGTTACAATGTGCTTTTCTGATCTCTGCACAAGTGATAGATTTACTTCCCTTTTATTCAGGAATGAAATGACATCACTGTGGAATGTCAAGAGAATCAGATATATCTGTTCCTTTAATGTGTGGAAATGTCTACATTTTCTTAGCTTTTCTGCAAATACAAAAGGGCAAATAGAGCCAGCTTATTCATAAAACTGTACGAACAGTTCCTTGTTTTATCAGTTTTTTAAATAGATGAGTAACAAGTTCTTCAGAACAATTGAAATGGCCATTGCCTTATTAAAATAGCAATTGTAGTTTGACCCCGCAGGCTAGAGGGAAACTTGCCCATCTATTTAATTGTATTTCAGACAAGTTACTGAGGGTTTAGAAGATATCCAGTTGAAGGAGGGAAAAGCTAATATGCATCTTTAATGGAGAATGGCACTGAAAATTTTATTTATTGCAACACGAAGTCAAACCTGTGTGAATCCTGATCAAAACCAGCATTTAGGATATGGTCTTAAATTGCCACAAAATACTCATTAGGTTTTTTGTTTGCACGACATTTTAAAGTAGCCATTCTATTACGTTTATCATGTTCTATATTTCTATCTGAAACAATGTCTGATTAGACAAGAAAGGAGGAATCAGATTTCACCTCCAGATTCCATCCCTAAAAGCAGTAAGAACTAAAATATGATTATGCAGCTTTCGCATTTCAGACTGCTTTCTGAAGTACAATGATCTGGAATTCCTCTTCTGAAGAGTATTTTCTTGAGAGATTAGTGCCCTGAATATCATAGAAATGTTGGTGATTGACTTCACTGGTTTTTAATTCCTTCTTAATTCTTTAATTTCTTTAATTCCTCTCTCATATCCCCAACGTTTTTTTCTTTCTTTCTTTTCTACATTTTTATGGACCTCAAGACTTTTCTTTCCCCTGCTTTTTTTCACTTGTCCTCAGTTCCTTCTTTCCAGCTTCCTGAGTCTCTCCTACGAGACTCCTACCCTGCAGGTGCCTCTCTCTCAGTAAACATGAGAATACCTTTTTTCTCTTTGCTACCCTGTAACACTCTTTTCTCTGTTAGATACTTTCATAGTGTTACTTTGATCTCAGGTTTTTCTCCTTTTGATTAAAATTGAAGAACCCCTGCAGCAGTGCCAGATCCATCTGCTGCAGCTATGTCCCTCTTCCACCGGCTCTTGTCATGAGCAGCCCTGCTCTGGAGCTACAGCAGGTCCCACATGGAGCAATAAGGCCACCAGCTGAGGTGCAGGTTGGTTGCACGCCTCTCTTGTAAGGCTGAATTCAGCTGAGCCAGAAAATGCAGAGACTGAATGGATTAAAAGTCATAAGATTCAGAGGCAGAGACAAAAGTTAATGTTACTTTAGGTTATAAAGCATCTCTGCTGTACCTGCTGGATGCCCATTGTTCTGCCCTCTTGAGGGTCTTTCTAGCACAGTGCCTCTTCTAATCCTCAGACTCTATTCAGCAACTCCAGGGATTGCTGTCCCACTTTTTTCAGGAACAATTTGAATGGGTAGGTACTGTTTGCAAGCACTAGTTAATCTTGTTCATATGCTAATGAGACCCTCAACAATAAAGAAGAACAGAATTCACTGCCTGTTGTATGATTTTTTTTTTATATGGCATTTGTCAGACTCCCCCACCAACCCGATTTCTAGCCCAGCCAGTATCACAGATTTACTTTCTCACTGGTTACCATCATGGTGTCCCTTACGTTGCAGTAACAGACTGTTCTGCCACCCATTACTCCTTATGTTAGTCACAGCTCCCTTTGCTCCAAGACAATGACTATCAGTGAATAAAATTATCCATGTCAGTCCTTTTGCCTCTTGGTGCCTATAAACAATACATCATCTCACCACCCTTGCCCAGACCAGGCTGTTGATCCCACTGAACCTATATTCTTGTTGAGGCAATTGATGTGACCAGATGGTACCTTGCATTTTCAAGCCTATTCATAACATTTGAATTGTTCTTAAAAGCAACACTAGGTAAAACCAAGGACACAATAATACCACTTCTTTGAAAATGAAATTTTTTATGTGTAAAAGGGAGAATGGTTTTTCAAAATTTGTTTTTGAAAATTCTTTTTCTAAGATTCACAAACTTTTTTTTTTTGCAGTGCATAATAATGAGAATATGGACAAATAAATTTCTCTAATTCTTGTCCTCTCTCTCTCTTTCTCTGTCTTTTCTTGTCATTACATTCAGATGATAGACATGATGTACTTTGTCATCATCATGTTGGTGGTTTTGATGAGCTTTGGTGTGGCAAGACAGGCTATTCTCTTCCCCAATGAGGAGCCTTCGTGGAAGCTGGCGAAAAATATTTTTTACATGCCTTATTGGATGATCTATGGGGAAGTGTTTGCAGACCAGATAGACCGTAAGCAAGTTTATGATTCTCATACTCCAAAGTCAGGTATCCAACTTTGATCAGATGATGTCCTATTAGATCATGTGTGTTTGCTCAATAAATGGCTCCAGACAGAGGAACTCCTTCAACACAGAGAATGGTCACAAAAATACTTTCTCAGCTAATATTGGGGTGTCAGTTTCAGAACATGCTTCTGGCATCACTTTGCAATCATTTAACTGGAAATCTGTAATGCTAAATTATTTTGCATATAAAGAATATTTTAAGTGGGTCCTTTTTACCAGCTTGTGACAGGGACCCCCTTCCAGGTATCTACCACAGGTTCGGTGGCATATCTGGAACAGAAAAATCACTCCTTTTTTCTCATCCATTAGTCTGATTTCAGACGTGAACTTCATGCTGAGCATCATGTCTAATAATACTGGGTTAGATATTTCAGTTCCTGTACTTCATGAGGATGTAATCTGATAAGTTTTCCTTTCTCTGTTACCTCCTCACTGCCACCACCTTTACACTAACCCATGTGATGCAATTCTTTGGGGACAGTAGATCCACTATTACAATATTGTTATATTTATTTATTAGAAGGCAAGGCTCTGCTCACACCAGTGCAGACAGAACAAGAGCCAGTATTTAATGTACTGTCTCCTCAGGATTCATCTGATCAGGAAAACACTGATTTTCTGTTTAGATAAACCCTCTGGTGCCACTCTGTTCATTATGCCAAAGGAGAAGGCTGGTCATGAGAAATGATGCAGTGGATGAACAAACTAAGAAACACAAACAATGTATCTTTTGCAAAAACTGTCGTGAAACAGATGTTCATCATTCCTACTTAACTGTTATGTGCAAGCCTTGGCAGCATTTGGAAGTCGTTATCTTTTCTGATGGCAGATGACAACCATTAAAGCTCTGTTTAGGATATTTCTTTTTATCATATGTACCACCTTAGGAAAAGACAGTGCCTTCAAAATTTATTTGCTGCTTGTTCAGTATTGATAAAGTTTGAATGAAAAAAAGATGTTGATTTTTCCTGAGCTCTTTAAAGGTAATAAATGTATATATATCACAAATAATCCACTCATTTTAATACAGTCTCAGATGGTCAGATATATACATATCACATGGCAGATATTACAGCCATTCCATGCTCATTTCTTCTTCCTGGCTAGCACAGAATCATTATCATGGATACAAATGATGCCTCCTTTTTATGTTTACTTCCCCACTTTGTTTTCAGAGGCAGCATGGCATGCAAGGAAATCACTGTGTTTCTTTACCCAGTTCCCTCATTTTTATCCTTTTCCCTTTTATTTTTAAAAATTCATTTCATTCCAAAGGCATAATTGCTGGGAATATAAAACTTCATCTTGCTCTGAAAGCATAATAGAGGGATAAAGGTTTGTACCATTAAACTATGACTTCCTTCCACAAGCAGAATTCCGTCTGTCCCTCTACAAGTGGCCATTTATTGATACTGTACCAACTACCGTAGTGCAACAAACATGGTGGTTGACCGAATAAATTGTTCTTGGCTTTGTTTTTTTTTAATGAAGGGCTGATTACAGTTTAGAACCTGGAAACTTAAGAAACTAAAGGGTCTTTGAATGAAGCATTGTATTTAAGTAAGAAAAGAGAGCGGCAATCTCCACACCCTTGCATGAGAATTTGGGGATAGTCTGGTGTGTTATTCAGATGCCCAGCATTTAAACCATGCAAAAAGATGCAGAGTAATCACTTCTGAAGCTTAGGGAAAGCAGAATTCATGGTGGCTTCAACTCCAGCTCTAAATGTAGACAAGTTGTTTTTCTGTGTGTCAAAGAAACTTGAAGTTGCAGCAAAAGTGATGATGTCAAAATGAAAAGCAGCATCTAGTTCCTCCTTCCTGAGAGGCAGATGACACAGAGAATTAGAATTTGCCACTGTTTCAGCACAAAATAATATGTCATGTCTGTCTCGGGCTCAGTTGTCTCAAAAGTGTTACCTGTTGAATAGACTGGGAACATGGGCAATGGTTGGTGATGTTGTTGTAAAATTCAAAATGGCCCGACTGACACCCAGAAGGTTTTACTAGTAAATTCACATTTTTTCACTATTTGAAAATTTGCTGTTATGTGTATTTTCCCAGTTGTTCTAAGCTAAATCAGCCACTGTACTCATGTTAGAGTGCTACAGTGCTTGTACTTTGTCAAATAAGACTAATGTTCTAAAATTGTTATGCTACATCTAAACTGCAATTTATAGCTTGGAGCACATTTTTTTTAATCAGTATTATTCTAACAAAATGAAAAGGTTTCATTGTGAGTTTCTTTATATTTTGGTGTTTAATATTGCTACACGATTTGCAAATTTAGGATTCAGCAAAAGTGCTCATTATGGAAATTCATATTGATTTGAGCCATGTTCCTGGAAGTTATCTGAAATTGTCTGAAATTATCTGAGAAATGTAAAAAAACAAACAAACAAACAAAAACAAACAAACAAACAAAAAATGTGCTACTCTAAAATTTCTAGTTCACTTTTTAAATTTTTTTTATGTATTATTTTTATTTTATTTATGAAGCATGCCATTAAGGTTGGACAGATACATTGTCTGGATCCATCTCATTGGCTGGCAGCCTGTTCATCCAGTGGATCTACTCTGATTTTTTTTACCCATAATTTCTGTATTCATAGAACCATAGAATCAGTCAGGTTGGAAAAGACCTCTGAGATCATCAAGTCCAATCCTTGTTCCATCACCCCCATGGTTACCAGACCATGGCACTAAGTGCCACATCCAGTCTCATCTTAAAAACTTCCAGGGATAGTGAATCCACCACCTCCCTGGGCAGCCCATTCCAATGTCTGATTACTCTCTCTGTAAAAAATTTCTTCCCAATATCCAACCTAAACCTCCCCTGGCAGAGCTTAAATTGTGCCGTCTTGTCCTAAGACATTTCATTTTATTTTGTAATGAAATGTTAACTGGAGTATGTGTTAGTGTCCTGTTGGCTTGTGGTCTCACCTTCAACTCAAAAGTGAGGACAGATTTTGTCTTCACTTCTGGGAATATGAATACACTATTCAGTGGTGTTTATTATCAGTGATGTACATAAATACTACATATCTACAAATTCCTGACTATGAACCAGTTGTAAAGGGGAGGGAGGGGGGGCAGGAAAGGAAAGTAAATCTTTTACCACTGTGTTCAAATTTCTGGGTAAATTCAACAAAAACAGCAAAACCAGTCTCAAAGTAGTTCCTCCTGGACTATCGGTTCACCACAGACAGGACCACCACTTTCCAAAAATCTTGTCATATTAAGCAGGTGCTTCATAAAAAAAGATGCAGAACTTGAATGGCCAGCTTAAGCAATTCTTGAATGAAGCTTGTGAAAAGTAAGAAGTTCTGAATATGCCTAAGATAGTGCCTAAGATATGGAAGAGTGACTGCCGCTAATGATGGAGACATCCTGCATTCCTGGTGCCCTTTCAGTCCCAGCTACCCATGAGGTCCACAACCCAGCACCATAAGGACTTTGGGAATGGAAAACTAGAAAAGACAGATTTTACTGTCACAGTACAATCATAATGGTCTTCCTCCAGGTTTTGAGCAGGAAATGAGTAGAGTATGGTCTGTAAACAAAGGAGGCACAATTGAGATTTATTAGACCATATTGTTCCTCCAACTATCTCAAGCTATTCAGCTAATTCTTTTTAGCTGATCTGGCATGGACAGATGCATACCATGTTGTCTACTCAGAAAGTTTTAGCAATTACATGAAACAACTTTTGGAACTATGCAAGACCAGAGATTAGTAAAGCTACTTCATGGAAAAGTGCAACCCATCAAAACATCAATAATGACTGGAGCCACCTTGGGCTATTGAGTTTTGACTTGAGACTAGAGAATCCCAGTTAGCAACTCTTGGGATTCAAATAAAGGCTTAGACTGGAGAATTGAAAGGAGGCGGCAAGCTAATAAAATTTATGAATTATTTAAAGGTTGAGAAATGAAACATTAATATATTTCAGGAAAGGAATAATAATAATAAGAGCTTGATAAATTGAAAAAATTAGACTGGTATCAATTACATAAATAAAGATATATTATTATCCACTGATAGCTGGGGAAGGAAGGAGGATCAGGGTCAGGGAACTAGTGATTGGACATACCACTGTCTTGTCTTTATGCTACCTTTCCTAATACATCTGAGCCTTGTGCTACCCAATGGGATCCATGGGGCAGCAGCCAGCCACATAGCTGCTTTAGTGAATGCCTGTCCAGAAGGAAATCCACAAAAACTGTAAAATCTGCCTCAATTCACCTCACATTGGCACTATTGCTGGCAGTTCTAGCCAGAAAAATTCTCAGCACGGTTCTCACATGTGAAGAACATGTTTTCACCTTCCAAAACTATCTGCCCCTCCAGGATACTATGGGTACAGAAGTGTATAAGAAATACTGAAGAGGAAAGGTGAGTTTGCTTGGTAAAAAAAGGTAGATAGATGACATAAATGGTGGTCATCTCTAGAAAATTAGAATCAGACCTCACATTTTCCTATATTCAGAAGACAAAGCAACTGACCCTGCCATTAGCCTACATGGGTTTGGGTTTTTGCATCAGACCTCATAGTTTCCTATATGCAGAAGTCAAAGCCACTGAACCTGCTGTTAGCCAACATGGGTTTGAGTTCTTTGTTTTGGGCAGTTTTTCACATTTGACATGTCTCACATGTCAAATTTCCATCTGTATTTTCTTACCAGCTGACAGCACTTCCAGTGCCATCTGGGATCTGAAGATCAGTCTGAATTGTGTTTGTTTCTTGTTGGAAAAACCTACATAGTTTAGGAGTAAAAGATGGGGCCTCCTTCTCTTTTGGTTCTATTGGAGGGATATCAAGTAACCAGACTGCAGTTGTTTCAGAAGAGACAATTATACACAATGTTTTAACTATCCAGTGAATTTCAGAGGAAATTAGTATAACTACAAAAGCTTTTTAAAAATTCTTTAAATTTCTTAGTCTGATAGATTTATTTTTTATAGTTCTTGAAGTTTTTATAGTATAAATTGAAATTATATACTAAACTCTTTATGATCTTACAGGTTATGTGGTTTTCATGACTTGATAAGAGCTTTCTGTGAGGCCTGTCATTTGCGTGGATCATTCTGGAATTAGAACAAACAAAGCAGCTTTGCACAAAACAGAATAAATCATACCTGTGGCGATATTTTTAACATTGTTAGACAAAGGTAGTGGATAAAATTTTTGCACATCCTACAAACCATTTGGAAACTTTCTCTGGCCAGAGTTGCAGTAGTATTCCATTCCTAGCACTTCTGAGGTTATATTTTGGGTTCCATTTGGTTGGCTATTTTTAATGAGGGGAGTAGGGGAGTAGGAGGAGGTAAAAAGCACCAAAGTGAACAAGAAAAATACAAGGATTTACTATAAATTATGATTAAAATACAAGTAGATTGAAGAGACCTTCAAATTCACTTTTAATGTGGCCTGGGGCAAGAAGCAACATGTAAGGTTGGGATGCTGTAGTTAAAGAAAATTTTGAAGTAATAAGATACTGTTCAGCACCCTGGATGTTCCTACTGATGAACAGAGCAATTGTGGGAAATTCAGAGTTCACAGATTTCAGTACTTTCTCTGTAGGGAAGAAGTGGATAGCTCTAGGCAGCTTACTTAACATTTATGGGGTTTTTTTCAATATTTACCAGCCTGGCAAGCTAGTAAGGTTGCTTAGACATTTGATTCAAAAATCGTAAAATGCTTTCACATCCTTTGGGTTAATTGTGGATCAAAATTGGAAGGTGCACTTATTTGTTCCCATATTATTTTAGATCATAAGAAAACATTCCGCAGTTTCCTCTGATTTCAAACAAATCAACTTGTGTTGTAAAAGTTGTATCCATTCATATATGACAAGTTTACATCAAAGGTAAAAAGCTATTCAGTGACAAACCTGTTTTATGCACTTCCCTCTCTTCTTTATTTCCCACAACTATTTTGGAAGGGTGCAGCTGGGAGAAGAGTCATGATGCAGAAAACAGCAAGCTTTATTTCCCAAGCCCTCTACCCAATACACAGTAAAAATGAGCAGTGCCCACGTCATGACAGTAATGCCAGCAGTGAAACAAGTTCTTCCTGAGTTCTGCCTCTGCTTTAGGCCTGAGACCAACAAAGACTTGGGTTAATGTTGTATTTTCTGGTCAGGGAACAGGAAGGGTTAGGTATGCAGGAACCCATACAGGAAACTGTAAATGAGAGTCAAGAATGAAAAATAAGTTTAGGAGGAGATTATGAAAAATTAAACAAGATGCAAAAGTTATGTACATTTACAGGAATCAGGATACAATGTTTGAAATCTGCGTGAAGTTAATGCATGTAATTGAAATTAAAACTCCGACCATTGATAATTTTCTAAAACCTGAGCTCAGGACATAATGTCCAACCTTTATCCAATGACCTGTAAATATCAGAGTGGCTGGGTTTTTCAGTTACATGAGATTAGTATATTGTTATGCCAACAGAATTTTCTTCAGTAAAGCATTTCATTAGAATTAAGTACTCTGTGTCATTTGTTAAAGCAAGGCTATAATTTAAAACAGATAACTAAGTTTTCCTGCGTGTTAATTTGTGCTTTGAGAAAGTTTGTTATCACAGTATGTTATTGCACGTACCACAAAAATTACTTCATTTCTCAAAAAAAAATTAAAATGGTCAAATGTTATTACACATGAAAGGCAGGTGCAGATTCCTCAGGGATGAGGCACAGCACTCAGCAAGTGAAAACTTTGGCTTTATGGAAACCGTAGCATTACCACAGTGGGAGCCCTGTGACACCGGCACTGATCCAATGGAGACCCAGGGCAGTGGAGCCCTGCTCGGGAGTGGGGCTCAGGGAAAGCACCGCAGGGGTGGATCACGAAACTGGCACCGATTAATGAACCACGCATATGCAACGTTCTGTTCTGCTCATCAGGGACCTTGCGGGTGTAATGCAGGTGCTGCTGCCTGGATGGTGGGATCTGCAGCCGGGCACCACGCTGGCACCCGTGCAGGTGTACATGCGGAGGCGGGTGAGGGGAGTGATCTACCCCAGGTTACTGTAATAGGGAGACAAGATGTGCTTGGGACTCTACATCTTTGGGTAGGGGAGGCCAATAGTCACAGGTTACCATAACGAAGTCTTCTCACACCATACAAACAGTATTTTAATTTCTTAAATGTAAACAAGGATCTTCGTTATCTAAAAATAGTATCATTGCTATTTTTAGCCTCCTGCCAGAGTCCTATGTCCTTTTTCACAGAAAGAGAAATTTCTGGTTTCCTGGGAGTAGTTGTTTTAAACAAACCTTTAATTAATAGTTGGGGGAAACAATCCTTTAAAATAAACTTTATAGTTTAACTTTATGTTCAGCGATGTGCTGTGGACACATATCGTACATTTTCTCATGCAGCTGAAGATGTGATGATTAAGTGATGGCTTAGTTCTCCATAAAGTAAGGCAAGCAGTGGCTATTCCCATTTTATTTAAAAACTGTACCCACAACAGAACATGCAAAAGAGGAAAGCTTTTGCAAACCTTCAGGACAAGCTGAACAGCAATGGATGCATAGAATAGAGTGTGGGAACTTGTCTGCACAGGAAGTCTAATTTGGCCATCACTGTGTGTCATAAACCAACTGTTGTCGGCAAGTAGAGCTAGAGAAATATTTTTTGTCTTGTTAGCTGTTGAGGCTGATTTTTTTTCTCAGATTAAATTCTAGTGTGTTTTAGAAACAAAAAAAATATGGGATAATAGAATTGTAACCAGACTTGGAGCTGCATTTTTTATCTCATTGCTCTAACGTTTAAAATATGCTTTTCATAAATTTCTCTCATTATTGAAGAGATTATTTCTTCTATTTTCAGCACACAAAAGGACAACAGGTTTCATCAAGTGATATAGTGATTGTTCCATTACTGGTGAAATCATGCTGGGTTTTGATATTGTGTTGTGTTGGATTTCGTAGATCTGACTCAAGATGTGAGCAAGTTAGTGTTTCCAGACAAACAGAGATGTAAGTCTCACACTGAGTGCTAATAGCAAGAGGTATTGAACGTCCCAATTTCTCCTGAGTGAAGGCTAAGTGCACACAGTCCCACACTCACAACAGCTCACTGATGGCATTTTCAACATCTAAACAAAGCTGCTGCTTGGAGCAGTGTGGGAAGCATGAAATTACCACTGCCTTAAAATGATCTGCAAAGTGATGCTTACTGAAAAATAAAGAAATGCATTCTCTCAGCCTGTTCCAGTAAAAAAATGTATTTTTGTAAGAAGGAAGGACTAGTGATGCCATGTGTCCAGACCCAACAGAGCTGCTTGTAAAAATCGGTATTGCTTGTATTTGACTTTGTAATTTCTTCTTCTGTGAGTTGAATATTTTTGGAGATCCCATATTCAAAGCAGATTGATCCTGTAGTCTTCCCTATCATATGACTATAATACTTCTGTATGTAATAGCCTAACATTTATGTGTAGTGCCCCTAAATCAAGTACCCAAATCACACATAGTGTAATGTGGTTGCCAGTACAGAGATCCACAGTTGAATTTCAAGCTCTGTGAACCAAGTTCAGAAGAACGTTTTTGAAGGTCCAGTAGTTGGTACTGGAAATATGGATTTATTGTCATATGATGAAATTTTACAAAACGTACAGCATCAGCAAACTTTGTTTTTCATGAGGTCAGTGGAAAACTGCCATTGATATCAGTAGGAACTGCACCAGTGTTGAGCACTTTGAAAATTTCTCAGTTAAACTTCTTTTTGATGGGGATGAGAGGAAAATAGCTGCAGGGTTGTGCAAAATTTACCATTTAAAATGGTTCATATGTGTAAGGTGCAGCTTCAATTATTTTCTTGAAGAACAGATTAGAGAGATACATAGGACTATTAGAGCTGAAGCTAGAAAGACATAAACTGAACCTATGCTTGCAAATGCAGATCACCTACTACAGTACATGAGGGCATATTAAAAAACAAGCAGGGAAAACTATTTCACCATGTTTTCTCTCCCCTTGCTTCAGTTCTACAACATTAATACTGAGAACATTTTGATTCCAACATATTTGTGGAAGAAACAGGTGGCATCTCTGCTGCTTACACGTACCTTTACCTGGTACAGTAAAGACTTGATCATCTCCCCCACTGTTTCTAGGCATGCAGTCAAAAGTCCTTAATAGCAGAAAGTCATTACGAGTACGTCCTAGAGGGGTTTGGGCAGCAGAGTGCACAGCAATAAATGGCTACTCTTTAATTTACTTTCATGTACTGCCTTTTCCCTATTTATCACATCTCTCTCAGTCAATTTAAAAAGACCAGGTTTTCACCATTAAAGAAATAATATGCAAGCTTTTTTGCAGGATTAAACATTTTGATCATTTCATTTGCAGAGCCACTAATTACCACGAGATTACCATGGTATTTTAGCTGTATGCAAACAGGCAGCTTACTCACACCAAGCATGTCTCCTGCAAGTTCTGCTGGGAATATCTTGACATTCACAGTGAATAACACACAGCAAATAACAAAAACTGCAGCCTGTAAAATCTGTGATAGCAAGCACAAATTTCTTGGGGGAAGTGTCAGTGCCACTGTTATTTGGAAGATGTTGTCTTGGCAGGCAGGCCTTTATAAATATTTAAATATTTCTGTAAGAAGCACTAAAAAAGTAAGATTCATTCCCTTTTTTTCCCCCCCGTATCTTTGTTCCCAGCTCCTTGTGGTCAAAATGAAACCAGAGAAGATGGCAAAATAATCCAGTTACCTCCCTGCAAGACAGGAGCATGGATCGTTCCCGCCATCATGGCCTGTTACCTCTTGGTAGCAAACATCCTTTTGGTGAACCTCCTCATTGCTGTTTTCAAGTGAGTGACACATTGCAAAGTATGGGCTTGGGGATGATGCACATTGTTCACACCCTGTGAAGGCTGCTGAGCTGAAGGGTTTGGCTCAGAGACATTTTCGGAAAAGTGAGGGTAAGAAGGAAAGAGTTTGTCTCCAGGTGTGCTGGTTTAAAAGTTAACCAGCAGGGGAAATGAACTCAACTCAAAAGAGAGATTATAAGTCAGAATAACAATTTATTAAAATAATACAATAAGTACAATTATACAGACAGACAATTGGTTTTAACCTGCAAAACCCAAATGTATAACCCAACACCCTGGGGTATGAACAAAAGTGGTGTTCCTTGCCCCCCCCCCGAGTCCAAAGTAAAGGGAGAGGGGAAAAACCTGCTGGTGGAAAAGCTGTTGCAATCTGGTCAAAAGTGGTGATTGCAGTCCAGTCGAGGGTGGTGGTCTCAGTCTGGTTGAGAACAGTGGTCTGCAGTCTGGTTGAGAGCGGTGGTCTGCAGTCCTCTGGATCCCACGAGTGGTGCCAAGGTTCCAAAACTCCCAGTTTATATATTCTCCAGTTCAGGCGGGAGTGCTCAGTCCCTCCCTCAGAGCGGGGAATTCCATAAAAGGGTATGAGGACAGGAACATCTTCCCACCTCACAGGCCTCTACTGAGAACAGTTTTTGGGAAAAGGCATGGAAGGCTATAGAATACACAGTTTTGGGTTACACCCATCCAGTGATGAATTGGTCCCAGCCGTTCTAACCAGGACACCAGGGAATGAGGGAAATGCCAGGTTCTTCTCATTGTGCTTATTTCCAAGGACAGACACCTGATGACAATCAGGACAAATAAGCCAAAAAAATGTAAAGTTCAGTTTTGACATCATTCACTCCCAATATGGAAAACAAAAATAAAAAGATTTTATCTCAATGGATTGCTGTAAGACTCAGTGGTTGTTCACAACAGATATACACAATAATAAGATACTTTGAAAAGGCTGATGACCACTGTGCTTTGCCAAAGCACAAACTTATTCTTTTGTTCTGCTTCCCATTTCTGTGGCAAGGAAACATTTGCCAATATTAGTGAAATGTGTCTAGTTAAGATGCTGTCATATCATCTTTGGCAAAGTACCCAAAACCATTTCAATCTGATGTTATTTTCCTCTTCTTGCCTTCTAGCAACACATTTTTTGAAGTCAAATCTATATCTAACCAAGTATGGAAGTTTCAAAGATACCAGCTAATCATGACATTCCACGAAAGACCTGTTCTCCCACCACCTCTGATCATTTTCAGCCACATGACTATGATATTCCAACACCTCTGCTGCAGATGGCGGAAGCATGAAAGTGATCCAGATGAGAGAGACTATGGATTAAGTAAGCCTTAGACAATTCACAGAGTGGACTGCCCAATGCCATTGGTAATGTGTAATGTTTTGACAGGCATGAAGACAAGTCCAGCACCTTGATAACCTTTTGAGCAAAAGAACAACTTTAACCTGCAAAAATCTTCCTTGAAGGATTTAGTTCCACCTGCACTGCCCAGCCCTTTGTTCTCTTTGGAGTAATAATGGGGCTGTGTGTTTCCGAACTTTTTTGGGGTGTTACCCAGTTTGGTCCTTCAAATCAAAGGTGTTTATTTTGCCATTACTAGAGGTCTGTTGTTGCTGGAATTCTTCTTATAGTCCATCACACTTCCAGTTTTATTTTTTTAAAACGCAGAGAGAACATTCCTACTTTTTGAGTACACAGCACATACTTCCCCTCAACGCGCTTTTTGCCTAGATAAAATGAGAGATGGTGGAAAGAAATTTTGTATACATATTCTCTCCTTGACACTGACTTAAACTGGAGGAGTAGTTTCTCCACATACTTTAGTATGTACTCCCATAGCTATGATGGAAAACCTGTCAGATTATTTTGCTAACACTTTCTCTTTTCTTCTCTATCTAACTCTTCAAAGTAGATCTCCACCTCCCCCAATTTACATGCCAGAGGCAGAGAGCTAAGGTTGTGCATCTCTTCCCAACATTAGTCCATGCCATAGTCCACTTCTTTACGAGGAAGGAGCAGGAGACACGTGTGGTGCTGGAGATGGAAGGGCAACCAGGCTGCTCTCCTCCCACTCCCATGATGCTGCTGCCTGCAGATATCAGTTCTTGACATGTCAAACAGACTCCTGTACCCTCAGATTCCTGTCCTAGTAGTCTGCTAACGTCATCATATTTGTTTAGATTACAGGTGGGCTTTGGCTTCCACTGTGTCTCCAGGACCAGACCAGCAGCTGTGTTTAGACCCCATGCAATCCAAATGTATTCGTGTTTGGTCACCATTTGCCTGCTTAAGTGTTTCTATCTCCAGAATCATAAATAACTGAAGCCACTAATTTGGCAATTAACAGTATCTATCTGCTTTCATATCAAAATGCCACATAAATTTTGAAGCCTGCTTTTGAAAGTTTACTCCATGAATTTCACAATAAATATATAGTTAATTTCACATGTTAATATTTGCCAAATTCACATTTCTCAACTATTTCCACAGAGCTTTTCATAACTGAGGATGAACTGAAAAAGGTCCATGATTTTGAAGAACAGTGCATAGAAGAATATTTTAGAGAAAAGGATGACAGATTCAATTCCTCCAACGATGAAAGAATCCGTGTGACTTCAGAAAGGTGCACTTTTTTTGTTTGTTCTCATAAATTGATCCGGAAATGTGTTTCTGTTGCCATTCTTATTTTTCCTTTCTTTTTCTTGAAAAGGGAAAAATCTGAGGTATTTTTGATAAGTCTTAACCAAAAAGTAGAGTGATAAAAGGTGTGAATTAGTTTTCTCTTTTCTTTGCTAAAGCAAATGTGTTCAAGGATAAGTTGGTTGGGGCTCTGAGGAACCTGATGTACTGGAAGGTTTCGCTGGCAAAGGCAGGGGGCTTGGAACTACATGATGTTTAAGGTCCCTTCCAACCCAAACCATTGCATGATAAGTTTTGAAAAAGTGAATCTTTTAACTAGTTGTGTTAGAAAATACCTCATACACCACTTATTCTTGCATTTCAGTTCTTAAAGCAGAACTTAAGGCACAAGCAGTCAGAACACAATGGGAGAGTAATTTAGAGTTCCTCAACAAAAAATAATACTTTAGCTCTCACCCACTAGCTGTTCAGATAAGGAGCAAGCCTTGTTTCAGGAGGGCCTTGCTAGGTAAGCTAGTTTCATTGAGACCAACAGCGATCTTGACATGGATTTTAAATGGAACAAGACATTTTACCTACAACAATGCACAGAGGACAAAAGTACTACCTTAATTTAGTGGAAGTTGCCAGTCTTCAAATTCATCAGTCCTAAAAACTCTGTTGATCTACCATGGTGCTTATATGCTTTCATAGAACACTGCTGAGCTCGGATTTTGAGGACAGAGTTTGTGTTTGATTCTTAGCACTTTTGCCAATAAATATTTTAGTGCAATATCCTGTCACATATTCATAAAACTTATGAACCAATGAATACTCCACTAGCTGAAAACTCCACTTTAATTTGAATAACAGAGGTCAGGTGAGTTGTCATTTTCATTGATTACACAGATATAACACTCTCCTCCTTATACTTAATCTTCTAGTGCTGCCTCTGATTCAGCTATGCCTAAACTATGCTTTCTGTAGGCAAGGAAACATGCTGTTAATTTGATTTTGAAATAAATCTATACCAGGGCAAGATTGGAAGATTTAATATCCTTTAATCATCTGCATTACTGAAAACCAAAGAACCCCTAAAACATATATTTTAGAAAAGGTTATTAGAGGGGAAGTTAGTAAGGCATGGAATGATTTCCTTGTCATGGCCAAGGAATCCAACTTTACTGGTCTGGAAGAGATAAATGAGAGATGAAATTATAGAGGTCTATATAATTATGAGTGCAAGGAGAGGGTGAGTAGAAATTAATTGTTTGCTGTCACTCCCAGAACACTCCCAGAACAAGGTATAGGGGAGCAACAGAATAATTTAACAGCATTCCAGATTCAAAATAAACAAAAAAAGGTGATTTTTTTTCATGCAGTAAGTAGTGGAACAGAAAAAATTCTTGAAAGTTTTTGAGGTCTAAAAGAAGCTACATACATTCAAACAGAGACTAGACAAGCTTATAGGAAAAGTAATCCAGTAAGGACTGCTAAATACGTAGAGTTTATATTGAGCCCATAAAGTTTTTGAGCAAAATTGATTAGAAACTGGAGAATATAAGGAAGAAAGAATTACATACACTTCAAAGTAAGATAGTGGGCTCAATTTATCTGTGGTCCAACTGAGTAGTTTTTTTCTTGCGTTCTGATGGTCCAGTGGTCACAGAACTGAGCTGAAAATCATAGATGCTGGTCCAAATATCTGGACATAGCTTTCCTTGTGGAGGGCAAGGAAGGAAGAGGTATGTTTGAAGATCTGTAAATGGGAAGTAATCCAGCTGGGTCCTCCCCTACATCATGCTGTAAGTCCTTGAAAATTAATAAGTAACAGCTGCCTTTGCACTCTGTGCTGGCCCTGTTTTATAGGAAAGAGTCCTTATCTCTAATTTAAGTGAAAAGCTTATAGCACCTTGTTCCAGAATAGAGTTCATGAATGTGAAACCTGAATGAAAACAAGCACCTGAGACCCAGAGAGAAATATTTATTTAAAAATCCATTTACCTTAGTCGATAGTAGAACGTGGAAACTAGCCAGCCCCAGCTTTATAAAAGAGACCCAGAAAGTCAGCCCATGAGATACAGAGCCCACTCACAGGTCCAAGCACACTACTAGGAACGAAATCCCAGCTGAATGCAGTTCATAAAAGCTATGAGGTATACTTTAAAGATGCTTGAGGAATCAGGGCTATCTAAGTATCTTACGTAACACACATTTTAAAAACTAGATGCCTGGATCTGATATTTTGCCTGCAGTCATGGCCAGGGAAGTATCAGTTGAAGTGCTATTAATCTGAACCACCAAACTTATTTTTTCTAACCTGTGGAATCACAGAATATGCCAAGTTGGAAGGGATCCACAGGGATCGTAGAGTCCGGCTCCTGGCCCTGCACAGGACTATCCCCAACAATCACACCATGTGTCTGCGAATATCCCAAACACTTCACATACCTACAAAGCCCTTGAAAGAGGCAGTAGGGGGCTAGCACTGGAAGGCAAATGGGAGATGGGAACAGAGTCTTCTTTTGAGTTTGATTGGGTCCCAGAGGCAGGTTAGGGATACAGGAAAACAAAACAAGAGATCCAGTTTCTTGATTATCATGGTTTAGGAATGGTATTCCCCAGTTTAGTGTTCCCACTGAAACACTCTGAACCACGTGCCACTTGCTCACTCCCCTCTAAACCTAACCCTTCCCCTGCAACGGGAGGGAGAGGAGAATTGGAGGCACAAAAGGTAAAGATCATGGGCTGAGATAAGAACAGTTTACTAGAAACAGCAATGAGATAAGAAAATGAACAGTAACAACAAGAATAATAATAACAGAGTGTACAAGAGAAGTGAATGATTCTCTGAGTGCTCACAATGTGAAACCGGGCACTACCCTGACCACTCCCTTCACCCCTTCCCTGAAGGGACCCAACCTCCCACTGCCCTCTGTATATGGCATTAGGTGTTATAGGATAACCTCTGAGTCCTGGCCATGCCCCTCCTGGCTACTGCAGAAATTAACCCTGTCCTGGCCAGAACCAGGACATTAATGCATTGACCTGGGTGTAAACAAATTATTTCATCTACACAGTCAGTGACTGTGCTGGGTCAGGACCACAGGGTCTTGTCTGATTCACTTTATGATAAGCTGCAGTAACAGTGCCTATAACAGCTACTCTTGCCTGAGAATAGTCCACCCTAGCATCCTATGGGGCCTATCTCAATTCAGGACTTACCTTACTTCTTTTGTAACAAGGGACACCTCAGATATGTCCAGATTTGATATCGCAACACAGAATTTCTCCTTTATCTGATCGTTTCACTTTCAGAAACTAAAAGTCTAAAACAACGCTTGATAGTTGTCTTTCCCTGACCCCAAGTACTAAGTAACTTGAAGAAGTAGCCCACTAGCTAGGATCTCACACAAGCACATAGAAGTAGCATCAGGTTACTGACACACATCACAGGAAGTGGTTGACTAAGTGGAAAAGTATAAAGCAGTACTAGGCTGTAAGGTGTTTCCCTTGAAGGCATTTATCAAAGCAAGAAAATCTTGGTGAATCTCCTAGAGATCTGTGAGAAAAGTGAAATTGGACAAATTCACTTCATTGCAGCAGAAGAATCACAACCTTTCCTTGAGCATCTTCCTTTCTAATCATTGTGTTACATCTTGACCAGCACAGAGACATGTATATGATCAAAAAAGACTGCACTATTTTTCTTGATCTGTCATGAAGCCACTGAAACAATCTCTTTAGTAACATTTGTTCTGTATGGACAGGTCTCGACTCTTTCAAAGCCCGTGCAAAATCTCTTGTTGATTTCAAAGGGAGCAGGGTCACATCATAACAGTATTTGAAAAGCAAATATGCTGGCCAGAGTAGATATTATTATGTCATCTTTGGTACTCTATGGTATCCATTAGTACAGCACTTTACAGTCTGCAATGCAATTACACTTAACAGCATCCATGTGGATGATGACATAGCTATTACCTTGATTTCAGAGCTGGCAGGCAGAAGTGCACAGAAAAAGCTTTATCTTGATAAAAGGGACTGAGCCTACAAGATCCACCCACGCATAAAGAATGACAGTAAGAAGGGTCTGTGAATCTAGTGACATCTCCCTTTGGTCATAAAAGAGTTAAGTGGTCTTAGGCTCCAATGGGAATGCAGCCAGGACAACCCAACGTCCTTATCCTGCAGAAACCACTGCACATGGGAAAACTGGCTGCTCGCATAAACACTGCTTTACCAAAAGAGGTCAGGTAAATTACCAATACCCTGTTACAGTCTTGGGAATTGCTATCTATGTTTTATTTAAATAAAATCATTCAGCAATCACCTATCAAAAGACCTGTAAGTGACTTTAATTGTCCACAGTCCTTGTGGCAGTTGAAAAGGATTTTGAAGTATAAATGATGCCTTAAAAATGGACATAGTTAGACAAAGGGATTTATGAGCCTAATTCTAGCATTCAATTAAGAGGTCCACTTCGGAAAAGAGTGCCTTACTCCCATTAAAGAATGATTTTCATTAAATTACTAAGGAATTTAAGTTCAAAGGTTAAAAATAAATAAGCCAACATGAATGTCAGCAAAATTTATCATCTCTCAAACTATAATCAAAAAGGCTCATAAAAGGTGATAGAAAATCTGAGTTCTGATCTCTTATTTTTTTCCTGGTTACTGAATATTGTCCTCATATAGTTCATGTTTGTTTCACTATTAAAAATTTTTGAGCTTCAGCAGCACACCTTGATGCATGTTTTATATGTAGCCTCCTCTTTTTCTCTTCTCATTCTGTTAGGATGGCTTGGTACTTTCTAATAAGTTGACTAAATCTTACTATAAGGAAAAGCACAGGTATAAAGAAGGCATCATACATGGATACTGTGAGATTTGCTAAAAGGTTTATATACTCTCCTAAGTATACATGGAGAAAAAAATCCAAAGCAAAACTCAGACATTCTTATTTTGAAATAACATTTTAATTCAAAACTGTTCGTCAAGGAAATATAGGTCTAGCTGTCTATTCACTGAGTGAAAGTATATTTTCCCAAGAATATGGGAAAATAGAAAAAATCACTTATTCAAAAATTTTAAGAACCAGGTTATGACTGTATTTCTCCAGAACACATTCTCCTACATTCACAGTGTTTGGCTGATGTGATTGTATCATGTTTCTAATAGGTTTATTCTCAGATCATGGTGGTGTTCTGTATGATGAATGAGTACAGAACCGAACATCAAATTAATACAAGAGAATATCACTAAAAGAAATAATATTTGTTAAAAATTCTGGAGTGGCCATATGCAATATATAACTAAAGATGACTAAATTCAACTAATAGCTTTAGGTTTGAAGGAGATCATCATCTCTCAAGCTTTTTGTGAATAAAATTATATAGTCAGAGCTCATCAAGCGTAAACACATGAATGTATTTTTCAGTTCTCTAGGCACATCTCTGGTTAACTCTGGTTTCTCATCCCAGACTGCACTACCCTTATCTTGTTACATTTGTATATAAATTTTCCCCTACTATCAATGCAGTCACATCTATGGTCACTTCCATAGCAACCAACAGACCACATAACACAAAACCCTCTCTTCACCTTATCTATGACAATACCACCAGGCTTGCACTCTGTGCCTCTGACAGTAGCTGATAGATCATGTTTGGGGAAGGAAGAACAAGCACATGAATATGTACCAGCAACGTATGACTCTAGGTTCTTCTAAGGATGCATTAGTTTTGTTCAGTAGCGTTGCATAGCCCTCACATGAATGTAGGATGCAAAACTTGTCTCACAGTTCTGCTCATATACAAACTGGCTGTGTTTGTATGAAAATTACTTCACTTGTATACAGCTGTCAAAGCAAGAAAAAAATCCAAAACCAAACAACCAACGCCAAAACCAGATTACCCAGTTAGCTTCACAGAACATTATAAATTCATTCTAATTGTTGGTAACTGTTGCTGCAGTCAAAGGGGGCTTTTTTTGTTGTAATCTGAGCATTCTCCACTAAAATCCAGAGGTTTCTCAAATTGTTTCTTATGTGTGATAGCCCTAAAATTGTGATATTTTGTCTGGTCATCATCTTGGAGCAGTTGTTATAGAATCTGAATGTGGGGTGAAGGACTCAATTATTGGCTGATAAATATTTCAAAAGTATATTTGCTTTCATAAAATAGCAGTTCAGATAAGTAATAGCATGAGGGAAAATTCAACTGCTTCCCATATAAACTGCTCTCACTATGGAATTATATCCTGTGCTTGCAATAACATTAATCTGTTTTGTTGGAGAAGCTGGTACAACTAGAAACAGATTGGTGTCTAAATCATAATGAGAAGAATGAGATTCCTTGAAGCTACCAGTTGATTTCTTAGCAATGATTACCTGATCATTCATCTGTTGAAGTTTGATGATGGCAATACAGTTACTGCTGTTTGATTTGCTGTGCTTGTGCTTTCAAAACTCACAAACTTCAACAGAAAAAGCCTGTATCTCACAGGAATGTGCAACTTGCTGTAGTCACACTCTTACCTGTCCTCTCTTATGTGGGCAGGTTGCTGTTGGTCATCACCCCAACGTAGTCAGATTTCAGTGTTCACCAGCAAAAGTTGTGAGCATTACATAACAGGGCATTAATGCTGCACAATGTTCATTCATTGCTAAAATCTGGTTTCCTTCTGGGCAAATAAGAGGGTTTATGGTGTTGTCAGTATCAGATCACTTGTCCTGTTGAAAAACTAACTAGCAGTAGTAGAAGATTATATTTATCTCATCAGAAATCCTGGCAATGATTTGCATGCCTATCAACAGACAGTGTGCTTATTAACATTTGAGCATGAATTGCTCTAACAGGCAGAGCGTAAGAGACTTGTGAAGAGAAAACCGTGGAAATTGTGCCATTTGGTATTTGTTGCTTCTCTCTTCATTGTCCAATGTCTACAGCAATGCGGAAAACCAGAATTGTAATCTATCAATCAAAGATAACTACATAAATTTGTGGCTTTTAGTACTTTTTTGGCAGATAGTGGAAGTCCCAGTCTGCCATAGGGACTACAACCCGAGAAAAATAATTATGCAAAGAAAATTCATGTGTGCTAAAGGAATTTCATTGTTTAAAATTGTCAGACTCCACATAAATCCTTCACTTGAGACATTTTAGAAGTCAGAGAATTGAAATGGTTGCAGGCCATTGGCATAGATTAGTACACAATTCATCTAAAGTTGAAAACATTTTAAAATGAGACAGATTAACAATGTAGAAAAGATATACTGAAGTTTAAATTAAATTAAATTACATATATTGAATCTTACATTCAATTACGTCCTACTATTTTAACCTAATTTTTATGTATATATATTAAGAGAGCAGCCAAAAAATTACTTTAAAATCCATCATTTCAATCCCTAAGCTATTACCAGAGACTACCCAAAGCACTATCACAGTAATGGAGCGATCTTAGTGTGTGTGTCCTGTTGTAGGCTGTATTTGCTTTGATCAGTGTTCTCTTTCTGCAGTTTTCATGCATATTTAACTTGATATATCTATATTCAATAAAATAACTGATCTATTTTTATGTAAATCTGAGCTAAAAATGAATCAGCAAACAAAGATACTATCTCCTTAGGTCCACATAGCACTAGCTGGTGTAAATCTGGGGCAAACACCAGAAAAAAAATATTATGTTAGCCACCTTCTATGGCATATTGCCTGTTTTCCTTACTTCATTTAGTTCTGCAGTTAGCTGCAGCAGTCCTGCCCATGGCACAACTGTAGACATGTGTCATCTGCTGTAACTATTATTCATTCATAACTACCTAAGTAGAAGCTGTGACAGAAGAGAGGCAGTAATTCATGATAACATTTATGTAATATGTCCTGTCCCTAGGATAAGTCACGCCCAATCCCCCTCTCTGCATTATGCAGCAGACATCACTTGTTTAACCCACTGGAGCAGTTTCCCAAGCCAGTGGTATTTGTTTGTGGAACCTCTTCCAGCAGGGTTTTGAAGCAGATGAGGTGGTGTAGATTGCCTTGGGGTTTTGAGACCTCTTCGTTGCCAAAAATTTTGGTGACCTGTTAGCTGAACATCACTGCTTTGTAGAAATTAACCTGTTTAATTCTTCCCTTTTTAAGGGTAGAGAATATGGCCATGAGACTAGAAGAAGTAAATGAGCGAGAGCACTGCATGAAGGCTTCTCTGCAGACTGTTGACATCAGGCTTGCTCAGCTGGAAGACATGATGGGACGGATGGTGACTGCCTTAGAAAAAATGACTGGCATAGAGAGAGGTGAGACAACTAAGATACGATCCAGGACCTCATCTGACTGCACGGATGCAGCCTACATTGTGAGACAGAGTAGCTTCAACAGTCAGGAAGGAAACGCTTACAAGCTTCAGGAGAGCATAGATCCCACAGGAGAGGAGTCCATGTCCCCAACATCGCCTACGATCACACCCCGCATGCGAAGCCACTCTTTCTATGCAACAAATATGAAGGACAAGTGTGGGCTGGAAAAGCTGGAAAGCATTTTTAAGGAAAGATCTCCAAGCCTGCATCGGGCAATCAGTTCCCACTCAATAGCAAAAGAAGGAAAGACTCCGTTAGCCCCTACGAGCACTTTGTCAATTGCCCCAGACTCCAGAAGACCTTCATCTTGTATAGACATCTATGTTTCTGCCATGGATGAGATGCATTCTGACACAGAACCTCTCGAGAGCTCCATAAATATTCTTGGTCCTGGAGATGCAGCTCTGCAGGCTCACATAGCCTCTTCCCTTTTAGCTAGTAGTGCATACATTAGCAGTACACCTGGTGAAAAAATTTCTGGCAGGAGTCTTGATTATGAGGAAACCTCTGGAATAGAAACAAGAGCATTTTCTTCAGACTACTCACAAATCACCGACTGTCAAATCCCCTGGGATTCAGACCCTCCCTTGTATCACACTTTAGAGCGATCTAAAAGCAGTCGTTACCTGGCTACAACTCCATTTATACTGGAGGAAACGCCTATTGTGAAATCTCACAGCTTTATGTTCTCTCCATCTCGAAGCTACTTCAGCAGCCTTGGGGTCCCAGTCAAAACAGCAGAGTACACAAGTATTACAGATTGTATAGACACGAGGTGTGTGAGTGCTCCCCAGGCCATTGCGGAGAGGGCCAGTTTCCCTGGAAGTCTTGGGGGCAAAGTGGAAGACTTGGGCTGCTGCCACCCAGAGAGAGAAGCTGAACTAAGCCACCCAAGCTCTGATCATGAAGACACTGAGACCAAAGAAAAGAAGGGAATCCCTTTATCTCCTCAAGACAGCAATGCTGCAAGAACCCTGGCCAACAGCATCCCACTTCCAAAAATAGAGCGAGCCAACAGCTACTCTGCAGAGGAGTCCAACATGTTGTACGCCCAGCACACACGGAAGAGCTACTCTATCAGTGACAAACTCGACAGGCAGAGAAACGCAACAGGCCTGCGGAACCCCTTTGAGAGGAGTAAGTCCTCCAGGCCAGAGAGCAGAGGGGACAACCTGTCCATGAGGAGACTGTCAAGAACAGGAGCCTTCTGCAGCTTTGAAAGCAAACACAGCTAGGCTTAGACAAAGTTCACCGGCAGTCAAAGGGTCATCTGCTCTCCAGTCCATTTTCTCAGCAGAATTAAAACCAAAAACCTTCACGTTACCAAATGTCAACTCCAGTTGGCATTAGCCACCGGTCAAGGGAGCACATTGTCAATCTCAGTATCACCCACTGAGGTACTGCATTTTGACCCAGTTGACATTTGCACTTAAGGAAAAAGGGAGGGATGAAAACTTTACAAAGACTTCAGTAGACAAGAGGACTAACAATCCCCCTTTTTGAAGTCAGAAGAAATAAATTAAGAGGTATAAATAAATTAATAAATATCTGCCTTTTATTAGAAGGCATCCTAAAATCTTTGATCATTATTCAAATTTTTAAGATGCAGAAATTAACTGGCAAAAAGAGATGTACAATTTAAATGTTATGAACTTCAATCACAACATCTTTTTCATCTATTTAACCATTGTGATGACCAATGAAAAGCATTTGTTATTTCTGTAGGAACTGGCAGCAAACAAGACTCCCAAGTCCCTTGCATCCCACACTTGTGGAAGTGAAGAAAGGTGAACACAATACCAACCATAATGTTCACTTGTCTCCTTTTATATCAACTTCTAGTGCCACAGAAAGTTTGTATTTTGAAGAGCAGAAAGGGAAATGAAATGCCTTTTGTACTGCAACTTAAACAGAAGGAGAATTTATGCTAAAATATCAGGTGATTTCCTGTATAAAACAGGCATTCTAGATTCTAGCACAGCTGAGCAAGCTCAGGATGAATGTAATTAAGCGGAATAGTATATATTTATTTTTTTACCACATTTGTCATCAGTATGTTGTCTCACTAAATCAAAGGATGTGATGGAATAGTAAGAAGAGGATGATCAGAGCAGAGCATGGTAATATTGTCAGGTTCTTACTACTCCGTTTAATTATGTACACAAATTGGGGAGATTTATGCACCACACTGATACCAGGTTCTTCTTGCTGTTCCATTTGAGCTGCTGACTTTTCACATCATTCCCTCAACTAAAAATATACACCTTTTTTTTTCATGTGTACATAGCTGTATTTGAGCATTTCAAAGTATACAAGAATTATCAAGCAATCTGAATCCAGATTCATGTAATTAGACTGAAGTTGCTTAAAGGAAAATGTTTTTGTCAGAGGACTGGAAAACACTAAAATTTCTCTATGCTTCTAAGGTAAGTTAAAGAACCAAAGTGAAACTGCAAGTGTCTGTAAAGAGCAAAAGCCATCAGTTGTGACTAGGCTTCCACCGTTCAGCAGCTTATGACACAATGAGCATTTTTATAGGAGGATGTATGAATGGTAGTGCAGTGATGGGTTTTGGTTGAAGACAGTTGTAACTCCACTGAGCTGACCCAAGGGTCCACAATGTCAACCAGACTTTCAAACTTCTGATGAGAAGGTGTCCCAGGTCACAGGTGGAAGGGTATGCAGAAGATTGGAAAAGGGTAGAGAAGCATAAACTGCAACTGGATCAAAACTTCACATACTTTATGAAGGCAAAACATTTAAGCTTTTAAAGAGTTGAAGCTAGTGCTATTAAAAATTAAAATGTCTCTACAATTACCAACAGCTGTGTAGAACCAGCTCCTTTTTGTTATTAAAGATGAACACGTGAGTGGGGTACATACTTCACATTATTTAAATGGGAATTATATTTCAAAGGCACCTTTGAGAATGCAGGCTGACATTTTCTCACCGAGTCCTCACACTGGGAGACTCTGAACGCCATCTGAAAGCTAAGTCTGAAAGGCAACAAATCCAGACAGAAAATAATCATCAGCCTCAGGAAAAGAGGCAAAGAAGGTGAAAACATTTAGTTAATAAGTCACTGCGTTGGAAAGTTCAGGAAACAAAGAAATGCAACAAGGGGATGTTAAGAACAGTGTGTTTCATACTTCCTGCACCAACGTGTTCCTTGCTTTCTTCTATTTGTTCAGGCTTTCAATGAGCTGAACTCCACCAAGACAGTGTGTTTATGCAATTGCCTTTCAGGCCATGTGCAGCATTACAGTCACATGGCAATACCAAGAAAGGTCAGAAACCTTTCTGTGCATTATGAAGCATGCTTGTGGCAGGCTGATTGTTGAACAATAGCAAAATGCCCAAGGGCAAAGGAACTTGTATTTCACAATATGCTTCAAATGTGCCAACTTCTGTTAGCAGCCTTTTCCTAAGGCTTCTCCAAATATATCTATCCTTGGTGAGTAGAGGGGGATATTCTCACTTTGTTTTCTTTTGTTACTTTTATGAATGTCTGCTAAAACTATTGTGGAGTCCTTCATTTTCACCGTATTACTGGCCTACTCTAGAGGAATTTCAGATTCATTACAAATTCCTTATCAGTGCTTAGTGAATTAGTTCAAGGCATTGGGTTCTCCTCTGGGCTAGATTTCATCGCTTGGTTTGTCAGGGTAAAGGAATTTGCCAAACCTAGAAGCTGTATAAATGTTTAGGATACAGCACCTTATTGATCTGGAGCACACATTCCAGGTAAAATGAAACAGGACACTTTATTTACCTCTTAAAATTTGCCATTATGTATAAAATGTAAATTCAGATGTTAAAAGTATGATTGCAAGATGTCAGAACACCACTGTTCCTGAATGTTTCCCATTTATTCTATAATGTGGTTTCTACAGAATATATATTATGATGGATGTTAGATTATTTTATTTTCACCTGCTTTTACACATTACATCAAACTGCTCCTTTTTGAATTTGATGCTAAAACACCTATTCCTTGCAGTGGGACCAGACTTCCCATTCCTAATATTATGATCATTTAGTGAGAGTGGAAGTCTTATCATCCATCATCGTGTAGCTATAGCATGTGCCATATGATATATTCTGTATCAAAGGATAACTTATAAAGTAGACACATATAGAGTTGTGACATGTGGTAATATTAGTGAACGTTACAGGACAATTTTAATATCACATTATATGGTCTTGTTTGTAAATCTGTAACATTCAATAAAATAGCACATGTTGCATCAAGCATTAAGTTCCACTATCCAATTATTAGCTTACATACGGAATATGCATTTCTTGTCACAGTGTGTAAGTTTGGTATGTTTCACACATTTCTTTGTATAGCTCCACTTAAATGTCTGTATGAGCCGATGTATAAACAGCTAATGAGCTGCTGTGGGCCATGACAGATGAGTTGTGATGGTGTGAAAGATGAACTGGCATGTTATGCAAAAGATTATAAGATAAATGAACTTTAATAATATTTTGAAACTCAATTGAGCTTAGCTGTTTGTTTACATATGCTGATTGACTGAGGAAGCTGTGTGCAGTATTTTATAAATATTTTCCTATAATAATCTGTTCTATTGTTTCTGGTTTAAGTGATTCTATTCTACAGTTGGGGTATACACTTGTCCTACGTATTGTATTATAGCACAATATTCTTTCACAATAACAGTGTGATATGACTGAAGTAGTTTCTCTTTCTTACAGTCCAGTCTTTTTTTGTGTCAAAGAAAATGCATGCATTGTTCCATGAGTTTCTTTGGACTACTAGGAGACTTAACATTTTACTATTGCCTGCCTGTAAAGATGAATCCAGTTAGGAATGAATTCAAACTTTTGGATGTTTACATTATTTCCATTACGTTTGATCTTTAGCAAAGTAAGTGATTTTTTTATTATTTTTAAATGACAATTGTATTTTATGAAATTTGAATACTCAATACAAAATGCGAACCTACAGCAGTGCTCAGACATTTGGCTCTCTCTTTTTTTGGAAGAGATAAGGTGCTACATTATTGTTCTTAGCACAAGTGCCAGTTAACAAATGGCAGTGAGGGGATAATTTGAAAATATAATAAAAAACCAAAACATACATTCATCTACATACGGAAATCCCTCTGGGTTCCAGACCCGGATTAATTTTTTTCTTTAATTTTCCATTTATAGATTTTTTGGTAAAAAAAAAGAAAAACAACAAAACTGATTTGTACCTTTTGTGGAATGGATAGCCTTTTGTCAGGGGATAAATATCTTAGTTAGGTATATTTTTTGTATGAGAAGAAAATGATTTGTTTCTTAGAAACTGTCAGTGCATGGAAAATGCAACTACATGAATAACTGCTAAAAAAAATGTGCTGGTAGCAGCACACAGCCTTAGTCCAATGACTGCAGTCAGAGCAAACAAGTATCTGTCCTGAGAGCATTAGTTATCAAAGGTATTAGACTGAACCAGTGAAACAAAATGCTCTGTAAACTCGTGGTGCAGATTTTCAAAACAAGCATAAATGTCTTGTTATGTTGCTCAGGTTAAACACTTAAGAGGATCTGATAATCACCAGAAGGGAAAATGTGAGCTGGTCATTCCTGGATTTCCCTGGGAACGCTTAAGTAGTTGTGATGTCTCTCCCCTGCTTAAAATGATAATATATTTGCATTTTTGCACAAATATGCATAACTGTTTTAAGAAAGGCCACATTTTCAGTTCTGCTGAAAGATAGTAAGTATAGATCATCTTCTTCAAAAGAGATGGGAAAGATTCCTAGTATGGATTTTTCCTTCAGCCACCTCAAATGAAAACACAGTCCCAGCTGGGATGTAGTAAGCATTGGGGGTGTCTGCTCACCTAGTGAAGCCCTTCATTACCGTAGATGGTATTCACTGCCCTTGCCACACATTGGCACAAAAGCAGTAGTATGGAATGCGGAGGGACTTTGTTTCTGCGCCCCAGTGAGAGTTACCCTGCTTTATAGCCAGTCATACGGTGAACACTTCAGGTCACACAAGTTTCTCTTCTCCAAGACTGACTACAAACTATGGTCTTACTGATGCTGGTGCAGAAAATCCACTGATTTGAATGGCATACTCTGACTTTTGTCAGGAGATGGATTTATTCTGCATTTCTAACTCCATATTACTTTGAGCCATAGCATGGGTTACACTAAATTATCTTCAAGCTGGAAGCCTCATGACAGAGCCTTTGAGCCAGACTGGTTGTGAAACAGTCTCTGACCTTTTAATTTCTGCTGTATGCTTTCAGATCTGTTGTAGAGCCACACAATACTTATTTCAAAGAGCTATTAGGAAAAAACATTTGATTATTAAATTGCTGCTGTTTCTGCTGCAGGGAAGTGATAACTCTTGTTTATTTTAGTATTTGGGAGGGAGGGGGAAGGGACAGAAGAGGGAATTGGATGTGAAATACAGTTTTATGCCTGTACAAGAGTAAATTGTATCAAAGTTATATCCTTTTTCCACCGCTGCAATTGTTGTACATGAGGAGAGTCTATTTGCTGCTACTGCTATCTGGAACAGTGTCTGCAATATACTATACTCATAGCTATTTAATTGTTTATTATTTGGGCTATCATTTTTAAGTGTATAACAATCATTTATAAAGGGATAAAAATTATTATAAAATGTCATTTTAAACAAATTCCTACTAATACAAAGCTTTTCGAGTATGATTTGTCTAAATGTACATAACTAGGGAAAATGGTCCTTTCCAAAGGTCTACTGGATTCACAATGCACTTTTAGACTGTGTTTAGATGCGTAATAAAGAGCAGAAGTTGGCAATTACTACAGTAGAACTTTCTGAAATTTCTGTAACAATTGTTTTGCAATAAAAAAAGAGATGTAGATAAAAACATCTATTCTTACTGGAGCATTTATTTACGATCATTTACTTTCAAAGCAATAAAGCAATGATGTAATGGCAGCTGCTTTTCTCTAAGATCTCTCACTGCTCTAGTTCTAACCTTACAGCTTTAAAGAAAACCAAAACATTTACTCTACTGTGCATAGGGATTCTGAATGCAGTAAGTTATTTCCACCTCTGAGATCAGGTTTCATTCACGTGTCCCTTATTCTGGCCAATATGAGAACCAAGATGTACTTCTCAGTGTGTTTATTTAAAAGGAAGAAATGGTTTATTTTCTTTGTAGATACCATTTCAGAAAAGGGGGAACATAAGCATTAATTGCAGATCTTCTTTAAATTGCATCCACACAGATTGAAAGAAGCATACTCCTTTGTATGACAGATGGATGGTATCTCTGGCTCTTGTAGCTAAAGAAGGTTCAGTAAAACCAGAGGGCACCAAGTAATCCACTACCTATATCCTCCTCTGAACTGATAACTGACCTTGCTCAAGAATGAAATCATTGTCTCTCTCGTCATGCAGCTACAACCAGCCCTGATACTTCCTCACAAAAATGCTGAAAAAAACATTACTGACACAAAATCTGCCAAGTTCAGAACCTTCTGCCTCCACAAATATACCCCGTGCAGCGCTACAGGCTGGGCACAGAGTGGCTGGAGAGCAGTCAGGCAGAAAGGGACCTGGGAGTTTGGATTGACAGGAAGCTGAACATGAGCCAGCAGTGTGCCCAGGTGGCCAAGAAGGTCAATGGCATCCTGGCCTGGATCAGGAACAGTGTGGCCAGCAGGACCAGGGAAGTGATTCTTCCCCTGTACTCAGCGCTGGTGAGGCCACACCTGGAGTACTGTGTCCAGTTCTGGGCCCCTCCGTTCAGGAAGGATATTGAGGTGCTAGAGCAGGTCCAGAGAAGAGCAACAAGGCTGATGAAGGGACTTGAGCACAAGTCCTATGAGGAGGGGCTGAGGGAGCTGGGGTTGTTTAGTCTGGAGAAGAGGAGGCTCAGGGGAGACCTCATCACTCTGTACAACTCCCTGAAAGGAGGCTTGAGCCAGGTGGGGGTTGGTCTCTTCTCCCAGGCAACTATCAGTAAAACAAGAGGGCATGGTCTTAAGCTGTGCCAGGGGAGGTTTAGGTTAAATATTAGGAAGAAATTTTCTGCAGAAAGGGTAATCAGACATTGGAATGGGCTGCCCAGGGAAGTGGTGGATTCTGCATCCCTGGAGATTTTTAAGATGAGACTGGATGTGGCACTTAGTGCCATGGTCTACTAACCACGATGGTAGTGGATCAAGGGTTGGACTTGATGATCTCGGAGGTCCCTTCCAACCCAGCTGATTCTATGATTCTATGAAATAAGCCTTCACTGAGATAATAACGTGTTTTAGCTAAATGCGAAAGAAGCACAGGAAACAAACATCCAATTGAATAAGAAGGATTTCAGAGACTCAAAATAGTTCTGCACAGATCAGTCCCACTTCAGGAGAGAAATGGTTCAGAGGAGTGTTCTTTATTTGAGATATCTGAGAAGGAAAGCCTAAATTTCTTAACTAGATTTTATTTCATCCTTTCACTGCCATTCAGTGAACACTGGGAGTTTGAAGTTTTCAAAAACAAAATTAAAAAATAAATCTGTGCCAGACAGTTGTCATTATGCTTCTTTCCAGGTAACACTCTATCTCTGGTCTCCCTGCGATTTTTCACAGTAACAAATTCCACCTAAATTCAGCCAATTAGTAAGTGCTGGGGGAAAAAAGCAGCATCACTAGCCTTGATTTTCATTCCCTTGAGCTGCAGTCTGGTAGCCTTTAGGGCAGTGGTCTAGTCTCTTTTAATCTCATTAGTGCATAATGGAAAAGAATGCCATTTAACGTACAATGTGGCAGCCAACCTGATTCATTATCCCCATGACTGAGTACAGCAACAGCTCACAGTTACACTAGCCCTCGCTGTCTTTGCATACAAAGCCTGAATTTCACCCTGTTACACTTTTGGAACAAGAAACGTAAATCCCCAGGATTCCATTATTTTGACATTTCAAATAACTGATTGCAGGCATAAGTACTGTATTTTTTGGATTATATTTTTCAGAGGCAATAATGACAAGCAGTATCTGAGAGGACTATAGCGTGCTCATGTGAAATAACAATAGCAGTCTGTGGACAGTTACAGACATCTAAATGCAGATGATACAGGCTACTTTTGTAGGGAACTATGGGTGGAACTGCCTTTCCTAGTCTGGATTCCAAACCAAGAAGTTTGACAGCAGTACAGATGGTTGGCGAGACTGATACGCTCCTACCACCTTCTAAAACTTAAACTTTATAGCTACACTTTTCCTCAATTAAGCATGTAGCCAGAGGTTGAACAGCCACATGTACATCACAGAATCAATCTATGGAGGTGATAGAATTATCCTCACAAAATATTCCAGCCTTTTTTTGTTCGCAGTGTGCAAGATTAGAATTTTCCTAACAAGCTTGGGAAAATAACATATCAAGACTCTAAGAACATTACAGAAAATGTTAATACATAATCTTTTTCTTTTCTTTATTTGAGAGATGACAAAAAAAATCAACTACCCATGTAGCATTTCACTAGTCACTAAATAAAGTCTTGATACTAAAAATGCATCTTTAGCAAAAAAATAAATTCTCTGAAAATATCAGCAACATCACTAAATCTGATTGAAGAATTACATTCTGCAAAAAATCCTAGGAAATATTAGTCACAAATCTGAATTATAACCCACAACTGCTGAACCGTAGTAACTGCACTGTAACTTGTGGAGGAGAGTGAACAGACAAAGGGTGTGTGCAAATGGAAAACAGGGAAACTTAATTTTCTTAAAGGAAAATATGGACAATCAACTCTAAAATTCATATTCCTCTTACACTATATGGCCAGATCCCACTTTTTTCCCCGAGGGAAACAAACGTGGCAAATGTCAATAGTGTCAGTTTATGATTAATCCACTTCTACCATGGTATCTATTTTGCTAAGACCTTACTAAGTCCCTCAGAGAATCACAATTTAGCCAAAAATTTACAGCAAAAATGGCTAATCTGTGCGTACTGTAGAATAAATAGTCCACATCTCAGAGGATCTGTGGACTGTTTTATTATGAATATCTAAAAGGACATTCTCTTTGTTGCAATCTTATCTGAGGGATGAATAAATGTCCTGTTGCAAGAATGGGCCAAAGATTCATAAAATGTGGCCTGGTCCTCAGTTCCCCAGAGATCATTTTCTCCCTGAAGAATTTTGGCTTTCTAACCGGAACAGATGGTCTGCATCTCCACCCCAGTTCAGGTATGTCGGAGAGGAACAGCAGCCACAATGGGAAGTACACAGCAATGCAGGGACATTCCTTCCCCTTTCCTCACTGAACAGTCACAGCTAGGGACTACATTATTTTTTGTGCACTTATTTAGATTATTAATAGGATTCATCCAAAAGTAATGCAAGGTTTCTTCCTTTCTATGAAACGGG